ACCAAGGATAAGAAAATGTCATCTGCAACAAACATGGATGCCAGTACCAAACTTGAAAATGGAGATAGATTCTTGCAGCTTTCTGACATGAGGATCCCATTAACTTTCGTAAGTGCACCTAGAATTTTATTATGTTTCTACCACTGATTAGTTGATTTTCAAGAAGTTGATGCTGAGAGATATTTTCTGAAATAGTTGGTCATGTATTCTGCTGCTTGTTTGTCTCTTGCAGATGGTTTTGTTTAATGTTGCCTTCTTTGGGACGGGGAATTTTGCAAGTATAGCAAGTTTTGAAATTTCATCTGTCTACCGGTTCATCACGGTCTTCAGTGTAAGTAAACATAAAATCCCTATGGATCTGCTTGTCTGCTTTTGGTGTGAGAAGCTTATAACCACCGACTTTTGTGATATTCTTTTTATTTGCAGCCATTTCTTATGGCGGCCCTTCTCATCTTCAAGTTATTTATTCCATTCATGCTTGTCATGTAAGTAATAAGATCAGAAGGGATACGCAGCAGATATTCTACTCTGTTATTGTTGGGATTTGAGAAGGTTTCATTGATAATCGTGTTTCCATCTCGAATTTTATGCAGATGCGCATTCAGTGCAATAACAAAGCTCCTCAGAATACCGAGACTAGGGTGCTATTTTTTGGTAATTTTGTGCTCAGACGTGATGACTATCCACTTCTTCTTCCTGGTATGATCCTTCTCTCTCTCTCTCTCTCTCTCTTTCTTTTTAATAATTGATCCAGTTCTACGAAGTCTTATTGTCTTGCTCCAGTTCGACCTCTATTATGTTGAGACGGCTTAATAGTTAACACAATATGCATTTTCAATTGGTCAACTAGGTGGCTGCCATGCCCTTGGGCCAACTTGATTCTAAGCCAAGTTGAGAGGGGGCAGATTTTTAAGTTAATACGTTATGGACTTTCAATTGGTCAACTAGATGGCTGTCGTGTCCCTTGAGTCAACTTGATTCTGGGCCTGCAAAACTAAACGCCTTGAAGCCCTGAATAGCTGCAAGCTTCTTTAATTTTCTTGTGACTGTTGGTTAGATATTGAATTTTCCTGTTGAACACTTCAACTCATTAAAGCCAAATTTGATAATTTCCATGATCCTTCATTAATTCTTGTGGGAAAATGCAGGTAACGAACACAGGAAGTTGGATGGAGATAGGCAACAGCATCAGCCATTTTGGAATAATGAGCGCCCAAGTTGTTTTCGTGCTATTACTCTTCGCCCTCACGAATGTTTACACGAGAGGCATCCAGGTCAGAGCAGGTCGCCCCTCGTCTCAGAAAGAAGTATAGCCAGCCAAAGCTTGCAAAACTGCAGAAGTTAAACCAGTCCTTAAAACCCCAGACATCTGAGTTCAGGCCTCAGAACAGCTTTCTTTCTGGGCATCAATCCCTAGCCACCGGACCAATTCTGAAAGTTCTTCCGATTCAATTTTGTAGCAGGTGCGACGTATTTCTTACTAGCGCTTTAGACTAGTCTTGATTGATTTACAGCACCATTTCCGTAGAACGTATACACAGTCATGCCATGTAGTCCTGCGTTTAAGAATTTCGAGTGAGTTTTGAAGCCACCTTCTGGGAAACTCTCTATGGTCTGGCCTTATTTCTTTGTTATTTCAGTCTGAAAGCGGATTGGAATTTAACAAAGTACACAGCTTTTTCCACTGGTGACCTTGACCTATTGAGGTCACTGTCTGCCCCCAAGTCGTTTTAAAGACACTGCATGTATGATTTATGATTGGGAGAGTAAGCTCGAAGGCAAGTTACTTGCTACTCAGACTGAAACAGAAGTCTTCCAGTTGTTATCAGCGGTTAAAATCAACTACCTTATTGTCTTGTTTTTTATTGTCACCAAACAAAAATTGCCACGTGGCATGTTTTCTTGCCAATCCTCATCGTCTTCCTCCACACGCCTGACAAAAGCAATGTCTCTCTCAGCCCATCAAACCAAAAAATATAAACAAAATCAACTTGACGAGGAAAGAGATTAACAAGACAAACCATCTCCATAATCTCAAAGTAAAGATGAATTAAACTATTCACAGTTCATTGACGGCCTCATTGACCTACTCTCTGCAAGCACCATCTATATGTAAATGTCTCGATCCCAACCAATTGCCAAGGAAGATAGTGAAGCTCCATGGGCAGCTAGATTCCTTCACCAAGCTTTTCTCCTAAGCAAAGTTGATCATCCAGGCAAAGATGAACCATCAGCCTCCTATGTAAGGCTCCCAACTCCTCTCCCCTCCACTTGTTAGCTAATCATTTCATCACTTGCTCCTTCTCTTCTTTTCCTCTGCTTTTCTTTTTTGGCTTCTGGGTGGTGCTTGATTGCTCTGTTTTCGGGTTTCTTCAGATTCAACAGTGGCGTGGAGCTGGCGAGCTCAGTGGTCGACTCAGAACTACTGGACCAATCATGGAGCTCCATCTGCAACCTGTACACCGAAGTCAACAGCCACCCCCATCAGCAATCTCCTCCTGCAACATTCAAAATCTTCAAGCAACATAACTTAACCATTATAGCTTTCGTCACTTCACCAATCTACACCCCACAGCATCTGCAACAGCAGGGAGGGCAAGATTTGATGACATCAGCAACCCTCAAAGCTCAAAACTTTCCACACCTTGATTTCCTCTGCTCCAGGGGCAACCCTTCTTTCTCCATCCACTCAGATGCAGTTTCCAGTTTTGTCCGTCTCTTTAATGACATCAAGGCTTCCCCACATCAGGTAAAGTTCCAACCTTTTTCCATCTTTACATTTCTCCCAAAAAAATCAAATCTGAAATCTGAAATGAAATGCTCTGTTTTGGGTTTGGTTTTGTTCTCTGCTCAAGTTTCTTGTTTCGCGAGATGACGAGATAGTTCTGGAATCGCCATTGATAGTGACCGGTCATGCCCTTGGAGGGTCGATAGCTTCATTGTTTACTCTATGGCTGCTCGACGGTATGAGTCAGCTTCCGTCCAAGAAGCCATCGAAGAAGCTCCCACTCTGCATCACATTTGGCTCCCCCTTGATTGGTGACTCCGGCCTCCACCGTGGCATTTCCCAGCGATCCACGTGGAAGTCTTCCTTCCTACATGTGGTTTCCAGCCATGATTTTCTCCCGAGGCTATTGATGACGGCTTCAAATTACAAGCCTTTTGGCACATTTATGCTGTGCTCTGAGATGGATTCCACTTGCGTAGAGGACCCAGATGTAGTTTCGATGTTGTTCCTTAAAGGGATCGAATTGGCTCATTTGGGTTCTGGTGAAGGATTGCCTGTTGAGCATTATGGGTTGATGGTGGAGCATCTCAAGCGTAGAGATTTGTGCGAGGGGAGCTCAGATCTTGGTTGGCCAGTTGCGGATTCATTACAGGCTGGGATTATCTTGTTACTTGACTCTATTGGGATTGCCAGAAATCAGGTGAGAAAAACTTTACTGAATGCACTGTCAAGATGACTTGGTACTTTGGACAATTGATTACTGAATTCACTCTGTTGTTTTTTGGCGTCCAATAACAGCACCAACATCCAAGCGTAACGGACCTGGCATCCCAATTGTACCGAAAAGAGAGGCTATCGGTCCTCAGCAAAAGGAACGCCATGGATCCCAGCAGGAAACTAAACGACATCAAGATCAAGATGGCCTTCTTAGAATGGTACAAGAAGGACTGCAAGAACAAAGGTGTGGGCTACTACGACAGCTACAAGAACCAGAGAGCCACATCGGACATGGACATCGCCAAGCACAAGAAGTACCTTACGAATTACTGGAAAGAAATGGTGGAAGAAGCCGAGAGCCACCCTCAGAAAGAAGGCGCCTACGTCAGGATGACGTGGCTCTACGCTGGGAACACATACCGGAAAATGGTGGAGCCACTAGACATCGCAGAGTACTACAGGAAAACAGAAAACAGAGACTACATGAAAGTGAAACAGGGGAGGTCAAAGCATTACATTCTTTTGGAGAAATGGTGGAAGGAAGATTGCGAAAGCCATCATCCGATGGATTTGTTGTCGAAGAAGAGGAATGTTGATGGTAATTTCACGGAGGATTCGTGCTTCTGGGCTCACGTCGAGGAGGCGCGGTTTTCGTGTGGGTTGATCAAGGATTTTGGGAGGTTTGGTGGTGGGAACGAAGAAGAGAAGAGGTTGTCTGAAGGTTATTTGTTGTGGTTTGAAAGGTATGTGATGGAGCAGATTGGGAACTATGCGTTGAATCCTGAGGTTTTTGTTGCTGGGAGTAGTTTTATGAAGTGGTGGGCAGAGTTTCATGGGATTCTGGGGAGTGGTCACAGATCAGAGTTGGCTGAGTTCATGAGGAAAGGGACGTTCCGCAAGTATGGCTCTGATACGGTTACTAACACGCCTCATAGGGACGAATTGATGTTTAACATGACACCAGGAAATTTTGATGGCAAAAATGTCAGCATGTTTGGTTCGTGTTAGTCATCAATGATTGAAGCTAATCATATTGTCAGTCAATACACAACTTCAAGTCCAATAATTGAGTTTGGTTCGAGGGTATATTATATATAAGGTGACATAAGATTCAATCACCAGCTTCGTTCTTTAAGGAATTAGAGCTATCGAGACGAACATGTCTCTGATGATCAATTGCTAAGTTGCAGCATCTGCGGGAAGTAATGGATGCTCTTATTCAGTGGATGTGAGCTTACAAATACAATCATGTGTACATATACATTGGTGTAAGTTTTGTACATTTTCTGATGTAACTTAAAGTTTGTAACATCATCACTTAATGTTACTAATAGAAACTTCTTCCCATGAAGTGAGTTTTCAACCAGATTTCTGCTGGATGTATGAAGGAGAAAGCACAAAGGATCCCCTCGTGTTACACATTGATCTGTTCTTCCCAAGCTTCTTCTTTTCTTGGGCCCCCTTTTACTTTCTCTTGGCAAACAAATTGGTCCCTTACTTCAACCACATCAAGTCACAATGGTTCTGATTCCCTCCAGTTCATTGCTCAAGGAACCCCATAGTATAGCACTCAGCTTTCATCATAAGCAAAGTTAACCATTCCTTCCATTAAAGTACCAAAAAAAGAATGAAAAGTTAACCAACCTATCACTTCTATAAGAGGAAGGAAAAAAGAACAGGTTGTAGCTTATAAACCCATTCGCCATGAGCCTCCACCAGCCTCAAATGTATGTCTTACCCAATCAAACCATCTCTTGTTCTTCTTGTACTTGTTCTGCCAACTAAAGTTCTTACCTGTTTTGATGTTGCAGATTTGACAGTGGGCTGGAATTGGCAAATTGTGTGTTGAATTCGGATTTGCTACCTCTATCATGGACCTCTATCTCGAGTCTATACTCAGAAGTGAAGGCAAACTCACCGCAGCAATCTCCACCGTCCCCGTCTCCAAGGTTTCGAATTTACAAGCAAAATGACAACTCAGCAGTGGTTGTTGCATTTGTGACATGGCCGGTTTACTCTTCAGATCATCTTCAACAAGGAGATGGAGGGGCAGAGTTGGTCTCATCAGCAGATCTCAAGCAGCAGGACTTCCCTCACTTTGAATTCCTCTGCTCCAAAGCCAACCCATCTTTCTCCCTCCACCATGCTGCAATCACCTGCTTTGCCTCTCTTTTCGATGACATCCTTCCTCTCACGTCTGAGGTACCACTTCTTCTTGCTTCCTTTTCCTTGTATGGTTTTCATGCCGTTATGGGTGAGATTGGACTTCAATTTTTGAGCTCCAGGTGTGATCAATCTTGTCATAGCTTTCTACATTTTTCTACCTGAACCAACTCCTTTTACTTTGTACCGCAGTTGCTTGTCACAAAAGGCAATGAGATAGCCCTGAAATCGCCACTAATAGTGACGGGACATGCGCTAGGAGGCTCAATCGCCTCCCTCTTCACGCTATGGTTGCTGGACAGAATGACCTCCAAGAAGCCGGCAAAGAGGCTCCCTCTCTGCATAACCTTCGGGTCGCCGCTCGTCGGCGACAAAGGCCTCCATCAGGCCGTCTCGCAGCGCTCCACGTGGCCCTCGTGCTTCCTCCACGTCGCTTCGAGCCGTGACCCTCTTCCCTCTGCCCTCCTAACAACAGCGATCCATTCTTCTTCTTCTTCTTCATCGATCAGTAATTATGAGCCATTTGGGACGTTTCTGATGTGTGATGAGCAGAGTTGCGATTGCGTTGGAGACCTTGAAATCGTTTCCCGGTTGCTTTCCCACAAAGCGACGGAACAATTGGGACCTCTCGACGTTGATGAGTATGGGAAAATGGTGGAATATCTCAAGTCCAGAGTTATTTGCCAAGGAAGCTCGATACTTGGTCGTCCCATGGCGGATTCAATGCAGGCTGGGATTGCTTTACAGCTTCAATCAATCGGCATTTCGCTAGATCAGGTAAACAGAGATCTCCAGGCCTTCCTTTTTACTTTGGCTAATAATAAGTGTACTTAAATGGGTATTACGTAATAATATCAATGCAGCAGAAGCAGAGCACAATCAGCCTAGCTACAGAGCTGGAGAAGAAGCAGAAATTCTCATCTTTCCGCAAACGGAGCGCGCTGGAGCAGAGCAGGAAATTACAAGAGATCAAACTGAAGATGGCGTACTTAGAATGGTATAAAAAGGACAGCAGAAACAAAGGAAAAGGGTACTACGACAGCTACAAAATACAGAGCACCACAGCCGACATAGAAATCGCCAAGCACAAGAAATTCCTGACCAATTACTGGAAGGACCTCGTCGAAGAAGCCGAAAGCAAGTCCCAAAAGGAGAGCTTGTTCTTCCGAACCATGTTCCTCTACGGCGGAACGAATTACCGGCGAATGGTTGAGCCCCTGGACATCGCAGAGTTCTACCGAGACGGAAACAGAGACTACAAGAAACAGGGGAGGTCGCCGCATTACATCCTGCTGGAGAAATGGCAGAAGGATGACGCTGCGGGGAAGGGAAAGATGAAGAAGAAGGAGAAGAAGTCAGTGGATATGATGACTGAAGATTCCTGCTTCTGGGCGGACGTCGAGGAGGCTCTGTTTGCCGTGAGATTGCTGAAGCAGAAGGGTAGCGGTGGTGGTGGTGAGTCCAGTGAGGCGAAGAGCCGTTTGGTGGAGTTCCAGAGGTATGTGATGGAGCAGATTGAGAACTATGCGGTGGATTCTGAGATTTTCCTGGGGGAGAGCTCGTTCATGGTTTGGTGGAAGGAGTTTCAGGAGGTTGTTGGGATTGTTGGAAGTGGTAGTTCTTCGTTGGTTGAGTATATGAAGAGCGGCAGGTACCTTAGCTATGGTTCTCCTTAGTGATTCATATGCCCGTGTATTGAATTGTACCTGATTCACCCCAAGTGAAGTGTGTGTATATATGTATTCTACTATTCTTCATTCATACAGTTACTCATTTTATCTAGCATCCCAAGTACACCACAGTCAGTTCGATCACAAATCTTTTTAGGGGAAACCTGATGAGTACTTTTATTAAAAATCAATCAAAGTGAGTCTCTTGGGCCACTACATCAGCAACAACTATGGGCATTCAGACCTCCCAACATCTCTCACAATCATCATCAACAAGGAAAATTTGCTAACAGATGTGCTGCACAAATTGCTTCTGTAGGTGTAAAATTCCAGCTCCTCACCATTGCCATTTTGCCCAGTTCTTGAATATCCAAGCAGATACTGCCAACTTCACTTCTACACTCCTCCTTCCTTTTGATCTTTCCAATTAATCTTTTACAATCAGATTCAACAATTAGCGGATAGTATCCTCTTTCGATAGCCTTCTGAATTTCAAAGATCATTGCCTTTCCTTCTGCAATGTCAAGGTAAAAATTCATTGCTTTTAGGTAACGACCCATCCAAACTTTACTTGCAAATGCTCGGTCCAACCTTTCCTCAATAAATGCTAATGGATCTCTTCTTTAATCCCATGTAAATGGGCAGCCCACAAAACCTAAGTCTACCAACCACAATCCATCAGAGCGTTGTTGAACCCGACAAATTCTTGTTCCTTCTTGGGTCTACCTCCCTTCTCCCTCCATGAAGTTGTCGCAAGAGATTCCATGTTTGTTCATTATCCTTGTTGTCTGCCCAACCATAAATACTCTGTGAATCTCCACTTTCTTCTACTATTCTCTTCCCCAATATTAGCATCCATATAATGTTGCGTTTTATCTTTAATCTTTATCTTTAATTCTTTCCTCCAAAGCAGGCACAACCCACCCTATTTTCCTTCCCCATGGACTCCTTCACCATGATCAAAACTCAGCTCCTTCCACATGGATCTCTTCTCCCACCCATATTTTGCAAGTTTCTTCTCCACAAGTAAGACAATTTGGGGTTTAAGAAATCTTACAACGGATTCCAATGAAGCAACTGCCTCGAGATTACCCAACCCTTGGCAGTTGAGACTTAGCAGATTTCATGTTTGTTCATTATCCTTGTTGTCTGCCCAACCATAAATACTCTGTGAATCTCCACTTTCTTCTACTATTCTCTTCCTCAATATCAGCATCCATATAATGTTGCATTTTATCTTTAATCTTTATCTTTAATTCTTTCCTCCAAAGCAGGAACAACCCACCCTATTTTCCTTCCTCATGGACTCCTTCACCATGATCAAAACTCAGCTCCCATTGTACTTTCTCCCACCCATATTTTGCAAGTTTCTTCTCCACAATTTGGGGTTTAAGAAATCTAACAACAGATTCCAATGGAGCAACTGCCTCGAGATTACCCAACCCTTGGCAGTTGAGACTTAACAGATTCATTGTTATAGGCGACCCTGCTACTCGGAAGGGTCCTCCTCTGGTAATTCGATTTGGTTGGTATTGTTTCCTCTGTGCCTCTTCCCTTCATGTTCTTCTTCTCCATCTTCTCGTATCCATTTGCTCTTTTCTTCCCAACTTCAATCAGATTTTGTGTTTTTGCAGCTCAAACTTCTTGTTGCTTAATTCTAGTCCATCTGCGATGGCCCTTTTTAGTACCACTTTCTTTTTTCCTTTTGGCTCGCCTATTCTTTATTTATCATAAAATTTTGAAATGAGGACTTCTTCTCATGTTACCTCTTCTTCTTTTTCTTTTCCATGTCCTGAGTTCTTCAAGGCCACTATCCCAATTTTTTGGATTCCAATATGCTCCTTATTTATTGCCTCGTGCGCATCCAGGGGAATTCCAGAAGTCACCTTGATAATGTCAAATAGTTTCTTCCTAGCTGTTCCTTGGGGAATGCCAACCTTCACTACTCTGTTCTCCGCCACGGTGCTCTGTCACCACTTTCTTCGCCGGCGATCCTCTGTTTTGCCGCCAACCAGACTTTTGCCAACTTTATTGATTCAACTTTGTTTTTTGGACCATTCTTCTTGGATAAAAAATAGGATATAGAATTCTGAAAAAGTAGTCAAATTCATTGTTCAAGCATATAACCATTCAAAATACCTTCTCTGAACCCGAAAGTAACTAAAGTACTCTAATATAAAGGACCTAACCATTACTAATGTAATCCATGAGTCCTTACAAAAATCATTTTACCCAGGTATCATCCCCCCCCCCCCAAAAAAAACCTATAATTCCCCTAGGTAACATACCATCCTGACCCGTGGCATTTTCATTCTCCTAGCAAGTAGCAAGTCTTACTCTCATTACCTGACATGTGGCACTCAGATTGCCCTAACAAGTAGCAAGGCTTACCTACTCTCCATGCACTAGTGGCTAGCACGTGACATTTAGATATATATGATAAAGCATCGCATTCTCATTCTTTTGTTACCTTCATTGAGATCTACTTGTGAAGCCACTGCTAGATTTGGCCGGATTTGTTGATCGTACTGCGTCTGAAACATAGTAAGCCAACAGCGAACGTTTGTGATACGCTGATCCACAACGTCCCTCTGAGCTGGCTGGACAACATGGTGGTCCATGTTATATTGTCCAACATTCTCGACCACCATGTCGTGGTTGGCATTATGTTCCTGGGGGTTGTCATTCTCATCTGCATTTTCTTTATGATGGTGGTCTTCATGGATATCATTCTCGATCTCCTAAACAACATCCTCTTCATGATGGTGGCTGTCATTCTCATATGCATTCTCTTCATGATAGTGGTCTTCATGGATGTCATTCTCGACCGCCTGATCTGCATCCTCTTCATGATGGTGGTTGTCATTCTCATATGCATTCTCTTCATGATGGTGGTCTTCATAGATGTCATTCTCGACAGCTTAATCTTCATCATCTTCATGATGGTGGTCTACATGGTCGTCATGCAACGTCTCTTAATGGAGGTCATTGTCGTCATCCATCACCCTATGACCTGTTAGAATCACCATGCCTGTATTATGACCAACTGGGTTCTCTGCACTAGTATTCTGAAGCACATGCTCAGTATTTTGACCACTTGGGTTCTCTGCACCAGTATTTTGAGTCACCTGCAGTATATTCTGCCCTTCTTGGTTCACACCACCAGGCTCCTGACCTTCATGATGGTGGACTTCATGGTTGGCATGCATCCCCCCTAGCCTGGTGAAACCACTTGATCTGCATTCTCTTCATGATGGTTGTCTTCATGCATCACCCCCTGGGTTGGTGGACCCACTTCATTTGTCACCTTTGGGTTTGCATTCTCTGCATGATTGTGGTGGTCATTTTGATCATGGTATTGATTCGTCACCTCAGGGTTTGTAGTGTTTCCATGATTGTGGTCGTCATTATCATCATTCTTATTATACATCACCTCGTAGTATGTTGGAATCACCACATCTGTACTGTGACCACCTGAGTTCTCTGCAGCAATATTCGGAAGCACCAGTTGTGTCTTCTGAACTTTCTCTATAGGCTTGCCTTCTTGGTTCCCTGCATCAGGGTTCAGATTGTCTTGGTTCAATCGCCTTGTGTTCTGATCATCCTCTATACTCTGATCACCAGGGTTCATAATCCCTTTATGGTCCTCTGCTTGACGAGTGTTGGAGTAGCTAGCTTGCCCCAAACCTCGCTTCCGACGCCCACCTCCATTATGTCATAGACCATCCCTCGGTCGCGGAGCTCGCCTATGTCACGGATGGGAGCCATCAGGATCACCATCTGTCCCGCCATGCCCACCACCATTAAGATCACCATTTGTCCTGCCATCCCCCCCCCCCCCCCCCAGAACATTAATATTCACGGTCCACCTGTTTTCTCCCAAATTGAGTTGGGTGGCCAAGACATGCTTCATTTTATCTATGTCGTCGTACTCAGTATCTAGCACCTTGCCGATTGCTGTTTCATGAGTCGGTCCACGTTTTTATAAGCTAATATTGCATAACAGTGAAAGTACTCAGTAAGCATATCTTCTAAACAATCAAGCCGCTCAGAGAGAGGCGACCCAACCAATCAACCACTGGATCTCCCTTCAACGACTGAGCCACCTATTTATCGATCATATGGCGTTGGTCAAGGATTCCCTTAAACAGAAATTATGCTTCACAGGCCGCAACCCCTTCTCATGGCATGCAGGACACTTCCCAGCAGACCCTTTTACCAAGGGCGCTAGGTCTACCTCTAGGTCCGCGAAAGTTCGGTTCTCCGCCATCTCCTTGGATTGGTGTTTAATGCATAATTTTCTTTTGATTAGATTTAATGGGAACTCGCAACTGGTTATTTGGCAAATTTTGGCGGGAGATAATCTTCATGACACATGAGGAGCGATCTTGGAAGATATTCGACAGCTGGTAGGGAATTTTGAATTTTGTTCATGCTTCCATGTTACTCGTCAAGATAATAGAGCAGCTCATTTTGTGGGCAAAAACGCTCTTTCATCCAAAGTTCGACGATTAGTTAACTACCGCACGTGACTTAGTTCTTTCTTTAACTTTGTTTTCGGACTTTCGTCTCGTTTTTACTATGTTAAGAAGAAAAGAGATGATTACTTATGTCATATTTGTCTGAAATGCTAAAAAGGGATACCAACAGACAATATGGTTTGGAGGGGCGCCCTACGATGAGACCAACAAATCAAATCGAAGCCCCTCAGCCACAAACCCTAGCATCCGCACATTCCATGCTAGAACAAAAGCTTTGAGAAACCAGTTTCTTATGTGCTAGAATAGTATCACTTTCTTTTTTCCCCTTAAGCATATGTAAGAGGGCAATCCTAAACTTTCTACTCAGTTATCACCTTATTAATGTTCTTGACCGCCGATGACCCACAAATCTATTGATCAATGATCAGAGCCGCCTTGCCAGATCCAAAAAGAACTTGAACAGAATAAAGGTCCAGCCGGATATAACGAAGAACACGATCTGACCCAAAATTATCAAACCTAAGCCGAACCGCTCGACCCATCTACATAGATTTTAGAAACCCCAAAAATTCACATGCTGGGAATCCAATAAATTAAAGACAACAGAAATATGTAAATACATGTCACTCGAATCCTCGCGTATTGATATTTGATAAGTTGCGCCACCCTATAAACTGGCTGTCATGCCCATGTGCAGGGATGGCAATGGGTCGGGTTGGGGCGAGTTTTGTCAAACCCAAACCCAAACTCATGGGTTTATCCGCCAAAAAAATTCGGGGTAAAACCCGTTGGGTTTGAAAAACTCAAACCCAACCCAACCCGCTGGGTATCCGCAGGTTCATGGGTACCCGTGGGTTTTTCTAGTAAAAAATTTACAATAACAAGTTTCTTTCAAAATAAAAGTTTAACATCAATTTTCTCATACAAATTAATCATGCAAAAAACACCAATCTAGAGCATACAAGCAAACCGCAAATGATCAATACAAATTGTTCAAAATTAAAAATAAACATCTATAAACAATAAGATTAATCGAAAGTTTCTTCCTCGTCAACTAAGTTTCTTCATTCTTCACTTCATAATATCAACTTCATTCTAAACAATTAGAAAGCACAAATTATATATGTCTCCACAAACATAAAGAATATTAGTTGTTTAAGGAAGATATATTATTTAGAATATTAAATGTACCGGGAAAGTAATTAAATATCACTGGTGAATAGTGTAGCGGGTTTAAACCCGAACCCGACCCAAAACCCGTCAACATGGGTTTTACCCACGTTGACCGGGTTAGGTCGGGTGGGTACCCGTGGATTCGGGTTTTGTTGCCATCCCTACTCATTTGCACAACGGGTCCCACTCTCTCATGTGGGCCGACTGGGATGGATTATTGACACGGGCATTGTGTTTACAAAATGGAAAATTCATAATGAGAACAAAGAACATACAGACGTATGTGTTTACTAATAAAATATGCATTATTTAATTTATGGGCAGTTGAGACGACATCAATGCATTAAGAAAAGCAGAAATTATAATAAGCGTGAACATTTATATATTCGGCAGGAAATAATCTACGAGTCATTTGCTTCGTAAAGTTGAAAAATGAGAATTTTGGTAAAACATGGATTTGAAAAACTCTAAATTTATGATGAATTTGTTGGCATTATGAATTTGAAAAAGTCTATTGTTTGCTTATTGGATTTTATTAAGGTTTGTGAAAACATATCGGAGAGTGTAACAGAAATATCATCAGTAGGTTATTTATGGTGAAATCGTGGCTTAATCGTAGTTCAACCGTTAAAATCGTTAAATACCGCCTACCAACTTAGCCTCGATATTGGTATTTTGTGGATGAACCACTGGTACTATATGGTTTCACAAACTAAAATTTTTATTTAATTAGATTCGTATGAGGGATTCATATATTTAATCCCTTAGAGTTCGTGGACGCTACTAATTTTACTCTTTAGCAAACAATAAGTTATGGAAAAAAAAGTCCATAATAATCAATTGAATGTGAAACTCAAATCCAACAACAAATCAAAGAGCAAATTAAACGAACCCTCTTTTCAAGACAACTAAGGTTTGCAATCATAATATTATGACTTGACAACAATATGGTGCCAGCAACCAGTGAAAGTACAGCCAGGCAATGGCATGCATGCAGCCTGGAAATGCGAAAACATGGATGGAATGGAATCCCTTTTCCCCTAATTAACTCGTTGCCGCACACTCGTTCTCGTCGTCTCGATCGTAAGGTAATTGATGATTTGTTGTATGCAATACAGTCAAAAGCGAGTTTCTACGTAGAAACGTTTTGGTGATCTAGAAGCGTGAAATCGTAAGTTTTTAAGTTTTAAAACGGAGTTTTTAACTGCATAAGTTATAAAAACTGAGATTTTGTGCAGAAACGTTTTAGTGACATAGAAACGTAAAATCGTAAATTTTTAAGTTTTAAAACTCAATTTTAACTACATTGGTTGTATGTATTGTGTCCCATATATACAGAGACTATAGACAGCCGTCGCCATCCATAATCCGCTACTTTCGTCGGCCGGCCCCATGCACATTCCTCGTCGTGGTTTCCAGCCAGCTACCGCGTTTTGTGAGATGATCATGATTCCATCGGGAACCACTTTCGAGCTGATAAAAGTTTGGTTTAGACTTGTATGTCATGAAGTACTAGTATAAGATTCAATTATCAATTCTAACCCGCAAAATGTTACTTGATTTATCTATACACAATTATCAATTAACAAAAGAGGCCGAACCAAGATCAATGGGATGTCCACATTGATACCATTAGTTGGACTTTTCCCCTCCGCGTTAATTATTTGCCAATCACATGAACCAAAAACACTGTCGACAATCACAACGTAGAGAGACACTACTCCAATCACATTGTATAATACAATCTTATAAACTCCAATCATTTTTAGTTTCAAGAGTGCGTTCTGTTCAATACGTCTACTTGTAACATTATCAATATCGCATATGATCAACATATGATACACTATCTTCTAAGGTTGTATGTTGTAGAGCATAGTTTATGACAATTAATTTCGAACTTTTCTAATAATAATCACTTGAAACGAATAAATATTGTTTTCATGTCGTTCATGGATTGGCCAAATAACCAACAATTGCATGGCGCATCTGATCGCCTTGTTAGGAAGTGGTTAAGTAACATACATGATTTATGACATGATATCGCAGTTGGTTTATCCTTGAGGTCACGCGTGTTCAAGTCCTCACGACCACCAATATTTAAACGTTGCCTCTCAAGCACATGGTATGGCGGGGTACGAGAGGTAATTACATGGTTTTTACAAGAATAATCTAGGAATATTGTTGACGGTTACGCAATATAAAGAGCTAGCAATAGGGTGAGAAGATCATCTGCTGATTAAACACTAACAACCAATGTCGTCCACCTTCTTCTAACGCTTCTTCTGATGCCTTCTTGTTTGTCCAAACTTGCATGCAGCCGAACATTATCCTAGCTCCAAAGCAACTTGGCTTATCTCATGACTACACACGCACAAAACTGGGAATCTAAAGCCCAATTTTAGTTCCGGTTCAATATCCACAATCTTGTTTCTTCTCATGGCTGTAAATCAATTCGGTCCAACCCAGGTTGGATCCACACTCCAGCCCATTCATCCAAACCCATGAAAACCCGTGATTGGCGGATTTAAAAATAAACTTTACAAAAATCGTTTGCGCGTGTACTTCAATCGCCCACCTCTTTCCCTCTCTCAGTCTCTCTCTCCATCTGATCTTTCTTTCCCAAGCTGTACTGTAAATTCCAAAACCTTTTTTTTTAGTTTTCTCTCTCCTTCTCCCTCTCTGCTTTTCCCCTTTTCGTTCATCTCAGCTAGCCAGTGACCACAAACACTTTCCTCCATTTGCCCCCTTTCTCCCCCTTCTTCCTCTTCTCCCCCCACATTGCCGTCGATTCATCCTCCGGCAGCCGTCTGAGCTTTCTCTTCTCACCAATCTAACTCCTACCATGGCGCCAACTCCACGGCCGACGTTGCTTCTCCTCTTCACATCCTCCATTTTCTTCTACCTAGCAGCAGTCTCCGAATCCAACCTCTCCTACAACTACTACGACAAATCCTGCCCCAAATTCGCACAGATCATCCAGGACACCGTCACCGACAAGCAAATCAAGAGCCCCACCACCGCCGCCGGAACCTTACGCCTCTACTTCCACGACTGCTTCGCCAACGGCTGCGACGGCTCCGCCCTAATCTCCTCCACCGCATTCAACAGGGCCGAGCGCGACGCCGACATCAACCTCTCCCTCCCCGGCGACGCCTTCGACCTCGTCACGCGCGCCAAGGTCGCTCTCGAGCTCACCTGCCCCAACACCGTCTCCTGCTCCGACATCCTCGCCGTCGCCACGCGAGATCTCGTCACCATGGTCGGCGGCCCCTTCTACAGCGTCCTCCTCGGCCGCCGCGACTACCGCGTCTCCAAATCCTCCGCCGTCCCGGGGAATCTCCCCTTGCCGTCAATGTCGACATCGCAGATGATCGACATGTTCGCCGCCAGAGGGTTCTCCGCCCAGGAGATGGTGGCGCTGAGCGGGGCCCACACCATCGGATTCTCCCACTGCAAGGAGTTCACGGCACAGCTCTACAGCAACGGCACGGGATCCGGTGGGTACAATCCTAGATTTGCGCAGGCGCTGCAGAAGGCGTGCGCGAATTACAAGAAGGACCCGTCGATCTCGGTGTTCAACGACATCATGACGCCCAACAAGTTCGACAATTTGTACTACCAGAACTTGCCCAAAGGGTTGGGCCTGCTGGCGTCGGACCACGGGCTCGTCTCCGATGGCCGGACCCGGCCGTTTGTGGAGCTGTACGCCAGGGATCAGAACAAGTTCTTCAAGGATTTCGCCAAGGCGATGCAGAAGCTGAGCGTCTACGGGATCAAGACTGGGAGGAGAGGCGAGATTAGGCACAGGTGTGATGCTGCCAACTGATTGGATTGGATTCTTTTTCTTCTTTTTGGAACGGCATTGATTCATATATGGTCGGTCAATCTCTCTTGGATTTAAAGTCCGGAGGTTGTTATATTTTCATGATTATAAATGGTCTTTTTTTTGGGTTGTGATCGTTGTTCTTTCCTTTTTGGTTCTAAGAGCTTCTACAAATTGATCGGTTTTAGATAGGATTATCTTGTATTACCAGAGAGGGGTTTTTCATACGGGGAGATGGAGGAAGAAAGCAAGAAAGAGCTTACATTGTATCAAGCAAGAAAAAAAAAGGAAAAGGGCTGATTTGAACTTTGTAAAAATTGATACTTTACATTTGAGCATGTTATGATCATGTTAATTTGATATAGTTTGGTTCTGCTCCGGTTCATCTCCCACTGTCTAAATTGAAAATTTCGGCGAATTTATCGGCCCTGAATCACTTGCTCTCATGAGTTGATCATATATAATTTGTGACGCCCTTGAACAGGGTGTGTTATTCTTCTTAGTTGTCTAAGGTTTTTTGAAACTGCTTGTGTTTAGTTTGGGTGATATCACTCGATTGAGCGATCCTCCTTATGATCTCCAACCATCCAACGTGTGTGCGCTTCACCTTACTTTATAGCGCGGGGTAAAGCGTTGAAAAGAATTTGAGAAGTGTATGATCCAACTGGTAACCTTACGGTGATATATTGATGAAGAATGCATCATAATGTTGTTAAGCACACAGGCGTAATCAAGCATGATGATGAACCTACCTAACGACAACATCAGTCTCGTAGATGCACATCTCATTATATCGGTGTAATCGATTCTGCTCTTGCGGAAGAATCCAGCAGAGTTTGTAAAAGTTTGCGCTGAGAATGAGTCCCCTGAGGTGAGCCTGACCCAGGGTTGCTGCTGCTGGTGGCTGGCTAGGTGTAGTGAATATGAGAAACTGAAACTAACCAGTCAACCCAACAGTGAGTCAGGTCAGTTGGAAGGAGAAGAAGGTAGAAAATGGGGGATTGGAAGAATCCAAAGCTGAGAAGGATTATTAAAATGGTAATGGGAAGTGAGGACCGGGGAGCAAGCAATTAAGCATTACCATAATACCGAGGTAGAGGCGCAATCAGCGGTGAGTTTATTATATGGGATTCTGAAATTGGGAGCTTATTAACGATAAATTAAAATTCCTTCCGACTGTCACGACTCTACTCTATGCTGAATTTTGGCATTGGGGTTGTGGTGTGAGAGATTATATTATTAGTGCCGGCTCCATTACTGGACAATGTTTTGGTCATTACTCAGAAGCGTCGGTGACACCTTGTCCCAGAAGAACCAATTCCTTACATGTGCGCAGCCGGCTTTCAAGGCATATTTCCTCGTCATTTCCCACCGGAGACAGTTGCGATTAACATCTCGAGACCGTGGTTCATAAAGAAATGATAAACAGTTGCGGATAGTCTCAGGGTTTCTTCATCAGGACATTTCAAATTCCTACTCGGCAGAGCTACTTGCAGCCTTCTTGTTTATGATCACCCGTCACATACTTAAGGTGTGTGCTCCGATTTCTTTGGGGTGATACCCTATTGATTCATTTGATTGTGCGAGTACCATCTATTGATATGTCTTTTTTCAAGTGTTATGGTGTTCAGGGTGCTTTTTCGCAAGTTCTATTGTCCTACTTATGAAGTCGCGCACAAAATTATGTTGATGTCTACGTCAAATTCAATGGCGGAGCCACATTTTATCCATGAAGAGCTATAGTCTCTCAATTTTTAAATGTAGATAAATTTACATGTATAATTTGCAACAAAATTGAAAAATAGACTAATTGGCAAGGCTCTTGCTCCCTCTCCGATGACCATGGTCAAATCTCTCAAGTATAAATTTTTTAGCCGCTCGTTCAGATTTCTAACTTCGTCCTTAAATCGAACCGTTGATGTGATTTGAATCTGACTATTAGCCGCTATGAGTACTATAAGTACTTCTCATACTCCTCTGTAATCTGTATCTCCTCAAGTGTAGTGAAAATTGGCTCTCTCCTGCCCGTTGACTAGCTAACACACATTGTGTTAGTGAAGCACGTAAATTGTGTATGTTCGCTTGCTCGCCAATCCTCATTTCAGTCCCGTGAAGTTCTCTCCTCCTTGTCGCATGCCTCTTCTTTCCTGTCTCATGCTCTTGTGTGTATGCTAGTCCTCTCCGGGAAGATCCTCCTCAATAACTTCTGAAGATAATTTTCGATGATGTTGTCCAAGTTTCTGACTGCTCGTCTGACCTTGTTGTGTGTGACTCGGACGGGCATGTGCTTCTGGCCTTGGGTGTCCAGCATCAGTGGATCTTATGACTCGGATCTTGGAGAACTCCTTGCAGCCAGGGATGCGGTCTCTCTTGCAGCTTCTAGGAGTTTGCCTCGTGTCATCCTCGAGTCGATGCAGAAGCTATCATACTTTTATATTGCCGTCTGTTTCTCGAGTCTTTTTTTCAATGTATAGATTTTAGTGCAGTTCCGCGGGCTGCCAACTAGGTTGCGAGCAAGAGTGGCACGTAAAGCCCTGTTGCTGTCTCGGTTAGAGTTAGCTTCTTTTGATTTTGTTAGGTGATTTGTTAGTGGGATAGGGAGGGATTGTGGGTAGTGGTTCTTTCTAACTATTGTCTTGACTTTACTCGGCGGGGACCACGTAAATCGTGTATTATGTATGTACGCTTTCATTTTCTTGCATTGTTGAATCCTTCTATTTTCGATCCGCAGAAAATAGTCGTGACACGAGTAAATAATTTTATAACAAATTATCCTGTTTTTGCATTTAGGACAGTAATCTACTGCCAAAATCTCAGATGACAAACTATCCCTCAAAGTCGGGATGGGATCAGGTGCCACCGTGATAACTAGCAAAAAACGCTACTAAAAATAACGAAGTCACTACGAATTATTATAAAATCAATACAACATCTAAGCTAAATCACTACTAATTCAAACTAGTAGAGGGATTATTATAAAATCAATACAACATCTAAGCTAAATCACTACTAATTCAAACTATTAGTAGTTTTTCTCTTGATTAGGATGGTGCTAACTATTGTACAATTAGCACCGTAACCGCTCTCCTCAAAGTCATGTGTTTAATCAAGTACGTAGGCATTATCATACAACGATGCCAAGCCAGCTGTCTGCGGCCCGGCCCACCTGGAAAGGCTCAAAACTGTAGGCCCAGATAAAAAGTTTGCATGAGGAGTTGGCCCGCTCGCCTATGATGGGCACCTAAGTCCTAACGCTCATTTTACCTACCAGGCTACCACCACCAATTTGATGAAAAGTTTCAAGAACAAACAAATAATGAATTATCAAGGAGAAAAGCCAAAGCCCAAAATGGCCTTTCTTTACATTATCACCATTGGAGAAAACACTAATTATTATGAGGCCCCAGACCTGAGAATTAGATTGTAGTTTTGACGTTGTTGTTCTAGTGTTTTTTTAATGATAGTCATTGACAATAAAACTATCATACTCGTCTAATCCACTTATCTGAGCTCGTCGATGTTCATAAAGGTCGAAATTTACTGCAAATGATGAATTTATTTTTCATAACGAAAAACAAAATTATATGATTGTACAACGCTTGAAAACTAATGAATATATATAAAAAAATTACATCCTTTCCCATGTTCATCTTTCGTATCCTATACAAAATCAAAGCACATCTCAAATTCTCAATCATGGAGAATAATATAATTAATTACTCAATTAATTACAAGGATTCCTAAACTTCATGTACGTGTTGACAAAATACAAGATATAGCAGCCATGATGACAATGTGACCGGATGCTTACTCATATAGATCATCACAAATGGACAAAACCTTGTTCAGTTAGTTCACTAGCCATCGTGCGACCTTAAATCAACAATTCAACACCTCTTTCTCAATCCCCTATATATATGACACCATAAAGCAGGTGAAACCCATATCATCATTCATCAATCATCCCTCCAATTCCCACAAGAAAAAGATCAAACTCTCTAAAAGCTAGACTCGAGATGGTTCAGAAGCACCACGTGGTCGTGTTCTCGTCTCCAGGAATGGGCCACCTCATCCCGCTCGTCGAGCTCTCCAAGAAGCTCGTCACGGCCCACGACCTGTCCATCACCCTTATCATCCCGTCCTTGGGGCCACCTCCCAAAGCTCAAGCTCAGGTGCTCGAGTCGCTCCCACCCGGTTCGATCAACCACGTCCTCCTCCCCCCATCCGATCCTTCCAAGTTCCCGACCGGTTCCCGAATCGAGACCCTGATTTGTCTCACCGTCGCCCACGCGATTCCCGCCCTTCACGATGCGCTCAGGTCACTGGTCGAGAGGGTCGGAAGGCCGGTAGCTCTGATTGCTGACTTCTTCTGCACCGACACGTTCGACGTTGCCAGGGAATTCGGGGTGCCGAGTTACTTGTTCATCCTCATGAATGCCACGGTATTGTCCATGTTACTTCATCTCCCGAGGCTCGACCAGGAGGTGTCTGGTGAGTACGGGGACATGGATCGCCGGATCCGGCTCCCCGGTTGCAGGGTCGATCTCCCCGGTTCGGATCTGCCCGACCCGCTTCTCGATCGGAAGGACGACGCCTACAAATGGTTCATGCACAACGCCAAACGCTTAAATCTAGTGGATGGGTTCCTAGTAAACAGCTTCACCGAGCTAGAAGGAGAGACCATTCGGTATTTGCAGGAGAATGCCGGACCCGAGAAGAAACCGGTCTACCCGATCGGACCCATCATCCAATCCGGCCAATCCAACGGTTCGACCGATCCGAGCGGGTGTTTGGAATGGCTGGACGATGAACCAACCGGTTCGGTGGTGTTCATTTCGTTCGGCAGCGGCGGGACTCTGTCTTCGAAGCAGTTGAAGGAGCTGGCATTGGGTCTGGAGATGAGCGAGCAACCTTTCCTCTTGGTGGTGAGAAGCCCCAACGACGCGGCCACCGACGCCTCGTATTTCAGCGCGAAGAGCGCTTCGAACCCGCTCGATTTCCTGCCCGATGGGTTCGTGGAGCGAACCAGAGGCAGAGGCATGGTGGTTCCGTCGTGGGCGCCGCAAATCCAAGTGCTTGGCCACCGGGCCACGGGCGGTTTTGTGAGTCACTGCGGGTGGAACTCGACGGTGGAGAGCATTGTGAAAGGGGTGCCGCTGATTGCCTGGCCGTTGTACGCGGAGCAGAGGATGAACGCGGTGCTGCTGGAGAAGGATATGGAGATCGCGTTGCGGCCGGAAGCAGGGGAAGACGGGATGATCGGGAGGGAAGAGATCGCCAGGGTCGTGAAGGGTCTGATGGGAGGGAAAGAAGGTTCGGTGGTTCGTGAGAGAATGGCGAAGCTGAAGGTGGCGGCGGCGGAGGCAGTAAAGGAAGGAGGTTCTTCCACCAAGTCGTTGGGTGAATTGGTATCTAAGTGGGGAGAAGTGTCATTAGAATAGACTATTTGACCAAAATAATAATTAGTTGATTTTGTTTTTCATTGTCATGAATTGTATTCTCTTGTTAGCTGTGCTCTCCATTATTTGTTTTCAAGGTCCATTTAATAATTGACTTGAGCTTTTATGTTTTGTTGGTGGTAGTTAGCATTATTAGCTTTGTCGTTGTCGTCAAGAACAATTCCTTGTATCCATATGATTCAACCAAGCTCGTCCCGTCCAGAATTATTACCCCTATTTCCGAAGTCCTGGTGTTCTCGATTGCGAAGAACACGAAGCCCTTTGCCTCTCAAACAGGTTTCTTGCCGACTGTCCATCTTACCTCGGTACCCAATATGCATAATTTTGATTCGTTTTGAACCGAACCGACCGAATGCCCACCCATATCGATGACTACTACTAGTAGTAAACAATGATGGAGTGGCGGAATTGCTGCTTTGTAATTTGTATATTATCAAGTATAATGAAAATGGTGTCTCATATATGCAGATTAGCTAACATAAATCGTATTAACAAATTATGTAAATCTGTGTATATCTATCTACTTACATTTTCAATTTCGCAATATGTCACAACACTAACATTTTCTCAAGTGTCAACTCTTGATCATATTGCCTTCTTTGTTAATGCTGTTCACCATTCATTCAAAGGAGTTATAGTAAGATCCTCGGTATAATTAGCAGCTAGCTATAGCCAACCAGTAGAGTGTCACAAATCGCATGCATCCACTTTTACAAGTAGAGATCACAAAATCAAAATTGCTTTCCTTCTCTTCAGATTCCTCTGGCACCTGTGACAATGGCAAAAAGCATCTCAATCATGGGACATACAACATAGTAGTATGTCTCAGCAATGACGACGATATGATGTGCCCATCGCTCCATCGCACTTGCAAGGAAGCATCGCTTATCAATTTTCTATAGTCTTCCCAAATGCACTGAACCTTGTTGACTAACTGTCGTATGAACTTACATCATCACTTCTCTCTTAATTCCCTGTATATATAAGCCAAATTAGGCAGTTGAATCCATCATCAATCATCTAATAATCCCCCACATCATTTCCAACACTAGCTACCTTAGCTCTCAGCTCAAATCTGTGTTCAAAAACCAAGTAGAAACCACAAGAACCATAAAACTAACCCGCACCAATGGCCCGAAAGCCCAATGTAGTCATTTTCCCTTCACCAGGGATGGGCCACCTCATCCCGCTCGTCGAGCTCTCCAAGAAGCTCGTCCTGGCCCACGACTTATCCATCACCCTCATCGTCCCATCGTTGGGCCCACCATCGAAGGCCCAGACCCAAGTCCTCGAGTCTCTCTCGCCCGGTTCGATCAACCACATCCTTCTCCCGCCAACCAACCCATCAGACTTTCCAGCTGGTACTCGAGCTGAAACACTGATCTGCCTCACTGTTGCCCAGGCAGTTCCTGCGCTTCGAGACGAGCTCAAATTGCTCGTCGAGACGAGTGGAAAACCGGTTGCTCTGGTCGCCGACTTCTTCTGCACCGACACATTCGATGTTGCCAGAGAGTTCGATGTGCCGAGTTACTTGGCTGTCCTCACGAATGCCATGACACTGTCGATGTTACTTGATCTCCCGAGGCTCGATGAGGAGGTCTCTGGTGAGTACGGGGACATGGATAGCCCAATTCGCTTCCCTGGATGTAAGGTTGATGTTCTCGGTCCGGACTTGCCCGACCCTGTTCTTGACCGGAAGGACGAGGCGTACAAATGGTTCATGCACAACCTGAGACGCACCAATTTAGCGGAGGGGTTCATAGTAAACAGCTTCACGGAGTTGGAAGGTGAGACCATTCAATTTTTGCAAGAGAATGTCATGTCCAAGAACAAACCAATCTACCCAATCGGACCCATCTTCCAATCGGGCAGCTCGAACGATTCAGCCGATCCGAGTGGATGTTTGAAATGGCTAGACACTAAACCAACCGGATCCGTTGTGTTCGTTTCTTTCGGTAGCGGTGGGACCCTGTCTTCAGAGCAATTAAAGGAGCTGGCACTCGGTCTGGAGACGAGCCAACAAAATTTCCTCTGGGTAGTGAGAAGCCCGAACGACGCGGCGGCCAACGCATCTTACTTCAACTCGAGAAGCGGTTCGAACCCACTCGATTTCCTGCCCGAAGGGTTCGTAGAGCGAACCAAAGGGCGGGGTCTGGTGGTCCCATCGTGGGCCCCACAGATGCAAGTGCTTAGCCACGTGGCGACGGGTGGGTTCGTGAGTCACTGCGGGTGGAACTCGACGGTGGAGAGCATTGTGAATGGGGTGCCGCTGATTGCCTGGCCGTTGTACGCCGAGCAGAGGATGAACGCCGTGCTGCTGGAGAAGGATTTCGAGATTGCGTTAAGGCCAAAAGCAGGGGAAAATGGGGTGATCGGAAGGGAAGAGATTGCGAGGGTCGTGAAGGGTCTGATGGAAGGGGAAGAAGGTGCGGCGGTTCGTGAGAGAATGGCGAAGTTGAAGGTGGCGGCCGCCGAGGCAGTGACGGAGGAAGGTTCTTCCACCAAGTCGTTGGGTGAACTGGTATCCAAGTGGAAGAACGGCCATTAGATCAACGATGCATTACTTTCTATGTACTTGATGTGTTTCATTACATGTTTATTATATCAGTGTGGGGTATTTGTGTTCTAATTTCCTTGTTTCAGTTGTCCATTTTGGCGGGCTAATAATTGACTTGTTGTTTTGTTCTTTCTTGCTAAAATACTCTTGATATGGTGTTTTTAGCTTGTGATTGATCAAATGTATTGGTCCGCCACAAGTACCAATCCTCATTTAGCTTATCTAGTTCAAATAAAGCTTTTTTTTAGCATACTCTGTATTTGCATAGACCCGCTTTCAAAAGTATATAAGAACTGAAAAAACGAAAAATATGATGTATCGACTTAATGTTCAAGTCAGAATGAGTTAAGTGATCAATCAACTCTATCAACCAGCACCTATTAATTAAGGGGATCGCTAGCTCATAAAATGAGAGGAGGCATCGTTAGTAGAAGTATAAAATCTTCGTCGTTTTTATAAAATAAAAATATTATTCACAAATGAGCAAATTCATTTATGATATTAGACAACTTATCTAGTATTATCTCGTGTTTAGTGATGACAACTTAGTTACTCATGTTTAAGAATTTCTATCCACGTTGCTTTTTTATATTATATTTTAAATTTAATGCATTTTTTTTCTAATTAATTATTGTACTACTTACCATTCTCATGACTTTTTATTACATTACACTGTCGTTTTACCCTAAAGGAGTATAAGTGAATAACATTGAAAACATATGAGACTCAACAAGATACAAAGCAATGGTTAAATACAAGAAGAAAACCTCAATTACCATTTATTTTTTTGTCCCACTCCCACAGGGAAATTTTCCAAATTATGTTTTCCTGTTTTCCTCTTTCTTTTTGATTGTAGAGGAAATCAGATAAGGAAAAACAAAGTGTTTGGGTACCCCCAAGAAAATAAAACAAGGGGGAAAACTGAAAAGAAGGCAGAAAGCCCACAGTCAAAGCCCAAGCGTCCCAGCTCACAGCCCAATACACAGTCCAAACAGAAAGAGAGAGGAAAAAAAAGTAAAAAACAGATTTACATTTTACACCCACAAAACAAGAAAGTGAAATGAAAGTTAAAAAACCTGTAACAAAGTCATTCCGGGTCCCGCCCGTACTCAACCCGCCGCGCCGATCACCGGGTCTTGCTGGAGAACTCCCACCGAGTCTCCATCTCCAGCAACTCCCCCCAATCCACCTCCTCCAACGCCGTGTCTTCCTCCGCCTTCCGCCGAAGCATCTCCAACACCATCCTCGCCTTCTCCCTCGTCCCTTCTATCCGCCCCCTTTCCGCCGCCGTCGCCAGTACCTCCTCTGCCCCCGCCGCCTTCGCCAGCCCTTTAAACCTCAACCCGCCCTGACACAGTCCGCACAACACCATCACACAGCTCTCCTCAATCGACTCATCCGATTCCGATTCCAACTCGCCCCTCAACCGACTCACCAAACACTCCACCCCGCCGCCGTCCAAGATCGCTGCACGCCCGTCGACGCAGAACGCCAAGTTTCCCAGTATCAACAGGACCCGACCCGCCATATGACCCGACTTCAAAATCCCCAACAGGACACCCACCGACCCGATCCGCACCATCTTACTCCGATTGCTCTGAATCAGCGACAGGTGGTACAGCGCCAGAGCCGAGTCATCCCGAGTCCGCTCGCTCCCGGACCGGAGCAAATTCAAGAGAGGCGGCAACGCCCCCAAAACGCCGATCGCCGTCTTGTTGTGATCGTCGAGCGCCAAGCTGAAAATCGCCCCGGCGGCGTGATCCTGCGCCTCGGGAAACCCACCCTTCAACACATCAATCAACGGCGGGAGGAGCCCCGACCGTACGATCTTCACCTTGTTCTGCTTCTGCAATGATAAATTGACCAGAGAAGCGACGGCGTTCACCTGAACGTTCGTGTACCTGGACGAAATTAGGGTTCGCAAGGCGGAGAGAACCATCGGAGTGCAGAGATTGACGGAATTCTCTTCTTTCGTCCGGGTCATGTTCCGGAGAGAAATTAATGCCTCTTCGATTTCGAACACTTGTGCGCTCTTCAGCTTGGCGAGGAGCGCTTCCTCCACCGGGTCGAGTACGGTTTCGTCGGGCTCCGATGAGGATGAAGCGGAGCGGGAGGAGTAGCATACGGGTCGGGTCGGTATTCGTAGCGGGAGCGACGAATTGGACGAGCCGGGGGAGCTAGTAATGGATTCCTCCGAGCTCGTTGAGACGCGAGTTTTTTGGGTTGCTTCCCCTGTTTCAATTGCTCTGTTCTCCACCAAATCGGGATTCCCCTGTACTGCAAATTGGGTTTCCCCTGTTTCAATTACTCCTCTGTTTTTCTCCAAATTGGGGTTCCCCTGTTTCTTCAAATGCTCTATTTTGGCACTGACGATGGTCTCCGCCGTTGAGCAATCGAGGGGTTTCGGAGGGATTATGGAGTGGCTATTGCACCAGTTGAGGATGGCGGATTTGAGAGCGAGATTAGGGATTGCGACGTTGGAGAAATCAGGGACGAAGGAGCTGTTGTTGTCGCTGAACAGGGGAGAAGCCAAGGGAGTGGCAGGCTTGAAGGCATACTCGGTCGAAGGTGTGACCGGAGGAGACAATGACCGGGTCGGTCATCAGTGACCCGGAAATGGGGCAGAGAAACTCCGTTGGAAGGACGACGGAGGCGGGGGAGGTTTGGGGGCGAATTGAGTTGGAATTGGAGGATGGTGATGCGGCCCAAGAGAGTGACCGGCGGGCGGAGAAGATGCTCCATCGTTGCTTGTAAACAGTGAGCTTCTGCTTCGCTCTCTGCTCGTCGTCGATCATGGAGGAGCAAGTGGGGCACAAAGAATAGAGACTGAGGGAGGGAGCCTCTGTCTGATGAGGGAATTTGTTTAGAATCTTTAGATCCTCTATGATCAATGGAGCCATGGAGGTAGTTGGAGCCTTTTTTTTTTTTTTTTTGAATTAGGGTTCCATTTTCATATTTTATCGTTTGCTCTTTATTTTTCACAATTTGTTTTAATTAACGCCATGCTGCATGCGGCCATTCGTGCAAGTTATATTAGACTCAACGTGGTTAGAAACTTTACCTCCTTGTTTTTGCATGGATTATTTAAAACTACTGTCTAATATAGTACTTTATCCAAAATTCCAAATGAGAAAGAAAGAAAGAAAGAGGACCATATATACTAATACTAAAACTATAACGTTACGTTCGACAACTAGGGCTGCAAATGAGCCGAGCTGAGCCGAGTTTTACCCCAGCTTGAGCTTGACTCGTTAGCAAATGAGCTAAGCTCGAGCTCGAGCCATTTATTAACGAGCCGAGTCGAGTCGAGTTCGAGCTAAACTTGTTTACTAAATTCTTAGATCGTATTTGATACATTCATTTTGTATGTCGTGTATGGTACATGTGAGTGATGTAACGATAAATAAATAATCAAATGTTCAACATTAATTAATCTTATATTATAATTTGTAGGTGTCATATTGTTTAGTTAATAAATTTTAACTAGTTCAAATTATGTTATTTCATATTATGTTTATAATGTAATTCTTTTGTCATACGATTATAAACCAACATATCATAAATCAATGCATATAATCTTTAATTTACATCACGAATGAGTGAAGAATAGGGGAGATGCCAAATGAGCAAGAGGGAGTAAGAAAGCAAAGGAAAGACAGGGCATTGAAACATATGTATGGATGCAATTATTTTATTGGGATTCCACAGACAACAAAGCTCACGACAACTCCCAAATAATGCACACTTTCGTTCTGTATGTGCGGTTGTCAAAGAGCAAGAAATTAAGGGATAGCTTACTCGATTTGAGACTTTACCCTTAATTAATTTTGAACTAACTAAACTAATTAAGCTTGCTTTATTTATATTCCCTGACTTTTGACCGGAAGCTTCTTCCTCACCACCTCTGCAGTCTGGAGCTCTTTGCTAATCTCTGTTCACCACCATCATCTGCTTTTTCTTCCCCATCCCCACGACTTTAGTATCTCATAAAGCTCAAAACTTTAGCATTTGGCCTTGCTTATTATAATCTTTGCATTACAACCAATCTCCGCTAACTACTGTAACCCTTTTCCGAATTCACCAAAAGCTGAGGTGAAACACAAATGAAAGGGGGATAAAGCTAGGAACAGTAGGCATGATAAAATGTTGAAACCTGAAACCTCCATTGAGAAAAGTTCAAGCTAGTTATCGTCAAGTGACAGACAAAGCACAAAGCTCAAATCATTTCTTTCTAGACCACACTTAGGGAACACTTCGTTTTAACTAAATTGTGAATTTCAGCTTTACTTTTGAGACTTTTACTTTGTTTGTGTCAATGCATGTAAAGCCCATCGTTTTGGTATGATCCTAGTAAACTATCAGTAAACTCGATGATCTTTTTTATTAGATTATTAGTATGTAATCTCGTTCTATGCTAATGTAAAGCCCATCTTTTTCACATGTTGGCAATGTTCTTCTTGCTTCATTCTTATACCAATATCATGATTATTTTATTATAACATAATATGAGAACTCAACAAAAAAAGAAAGTAAATGAACATATAAAATAATTTGCACGATTCACTAATATGATGTGCATTAACTAGTCCATGAGAAGAATCGGTTTCACTATTTCGAGGAGTGCAAGAAATTACGAAGGGTTAGAGGATTTTTATAGAACACTTTCCCATACATTGTCAAAAGACTCTAAATCATCGAATATTTCAACATATTAAAGTCATGTCGACAATGGGTTTTTTTTTTACCTCATGTAGCTGCACAACATGTACAAATACACAAATTGTGCAATACTTTCGGTTCAGCCAAAGTAGTGAACTATCTATACAATATATACTTTGGAACTCATGTATTTTATAATCTGATGTTACACGAATCCTTAAAGTCTTGCCTACAAAATATACATCTAAAAACTCGTGTATTCTAAACTTTATATTTACAAAATTATTCCTTCGCAGAAAAAATTAAACTAATTTATTACGCTTTTAAAAAATAGATGAATAATTGTGACTTTTTGAGGTATGGTAACGACACTTTTGACTTTTGAGGAGGAGAATAGGAATTAGGAAGGGAAGATTAAAAGTGGGGATAACGACACTTCTCATGCATGGAGAGTCGCTAAAACCCTCCCCACCCACTCCCCTTTCATCACTATCATTGGCCCTCTCCCTTAATCACTAAGCTTATCTATATTCCCTTTTCTCTTCTCTATCTTTCCATTTCCCTCCTTTTTCACATAAAAACACAGATCATTACATATATATTTTTAAATCAAAATTTTCACTTAGGTTGGACTCTTTAGTCCTTTACTAGTGTTTTCTAGGCTGCCCAAATATATTGTTCATCTCCAAAAGAAACGTCAAATTCATCCCACTCAGGAACTCGGAATACATGGGAAACATCTCTAGAGCCCTGAAATGGGCCTGATCCAATGATGGATGCATATAAATCAAGTAAGAAGATTGCTAGCCCGAACTCCTAATGAGCCTGCCCAGGCCGATCCGAGTATAGAACAAGCCCAACCCACTTCCAATTACCAAAATTTCCCCTCCTGTCGTCAGCAATGACTACGCGCCCCCGGATGCACGCGTCGTTTCCCGTCTCAATGCTTAGCGCCCGGGCGGCTTCCTTTCCGCCTCCTCAGCCTCGTTGTTAAAAAGGGAAAAAGAAAAGGGAAAACATTTTAAAAATTCGGAAACCAATCCGCGAAAGAAAATAGAAAAGAACATTCAAAGTTTTCAGGTCGGCAGGGGGCTGGCTGGATTTCCTGGCTTACGCCCCAAGCCAGCTTCTCTTCAATATCAAAACTCTTATATATAAACTCCCCTTTCCTTAGCACAGCTCTTCCCACATCACCTGATCCTGTATTCTCCTCGATTCTCCTTCAAGAAATCTACGAACGATATATCGCAGCAGTAGTTTCGATCAAATTGAACCGATAATGTCCGGAGGAACAGAAGCTTTCCCAGATTTGGGCAGGCACTGCCAACACAAGGAATGCAATCAGCTCGACTTCCTGCCTTTCAAATGCCAGGGCTGCCAACAGGTAATACGTTTACAATGCAATCGCCTTTACCTTTCCTTCCTCTCCAAGGCAAATTCAGGATTGTTGAGTGAATACTGGGTTCTGGGTTTCATTTCAGGTTTTCTGCTTGGAGCACAGATCGTACAGGGCCCACGGGTGCCCTAAAGCCGACCACAACAGCCGCAAAGTCGTGGTCTGCGAAATCTGCTCGACCTCCATCGAGACTACAGGTCGTGGGGAGTTGGCCGAAAAGGCGTTGCTGGAGAGGCACGAGAAGTCGGGGCAATGCGACCCCAGGAGGAAGAAGAAACCCACATGTGGCGTGCGTCGGTGCAAGGAGATACTGACCTTTTCCAATACCTGCGTATGCAAAACCTGCCAGATGAAGGTTTGCTTGAGCCACAGGTTTCCAGCAGATCATCAGTGTAAGAAGGATTCGGCTCCGGCTCCTGCTGCAGCCGCTGCAAATGGTGTGAGCAGGTTCCTGCTTGCTTTTGCTTCGAGGAATTCCAAGGATTGTGCCAAGAACGATAACCAACGATCGTCATCTTCTTCAAGTTCGAGGGCCCCGTCAATAAGATCGCATTGAGATATTCTAGGGATGGTATGTGTTGATACCTGATTGTTTGTGGTCTTGCTGCTAGCCAGAGGTTTGCTATGTTTTCTGTACAAAGGCAAACTTTTTACAAACCAAAGGACGAATGAGAGACCGTATGTTAATCATGATTCTGTTAATGCCATGATCACCTGCTAGAGTTTCCTAGATCGCTATGTACATTTCGGAATTGATATTTGTTTCGCTACATGTCAATCTTCACCCCCTTGTCAGTGGTCATATGATCTACAATCTCTCTACCGTCTAAAGGAATCTGGTTAATACAAGAACAACCTTAAAAAACAACTAAATAAGGAACACCTTCGTGTGACCTTTCTGAGAATAGCACATTGCGATATCATGAAGCCCGCTTTTTCGGAGGTGGCAATAGAGCAAGAAGGATCTTCTTTCTTGGTCCCTGCAAAAGAAACCCCGAGAACCACAGTTTTCTGTTAGACAAATGGAAGCAGTCCTGTGTTTTGACCTGGCTGGGTCAAGCTACAACGTTTGAAATGAAATGATTGCTATAGTATGCTATGACTACAGAAAAAAACTAACACCTTTACATCCTCTTCTTAACCTTCTCCATCTTGCCTAAACCATTTTCTCCTAAGTTGGCAAGAGCTGGTAGAAGATATTTGTCCTCAATCAGTTGTTTCGATCACATTCACAAAGTATCACAACCCGGGAATTGCAGATGGTAGAGCATATTAATATGAAACTTTAACACAACCTATAGTTAGTGAGAAAGAAGCATTACCATCGGTATGGCCATATCTTTAAGATCTTTCTCCCTCATCTGCTTTAGTACAGTCATGTCTACCTATTAAACAAAGCAATGACAAAGTATGCAGAGAACATTAATACAATCAAGAATGCCCAGGAAGAAAAGAAGAGGGAAAGGGAATCATGCCCAGACACATTTGAGCAATTACTTGTAGCAGCCAACAACCCAAGAAACCTAAAAGGCGAGCACAGTATCTGACAAACACTATAAGCAACAGAACATCAAGGAACCACACTTACTTCCTCTGCCTGGAAGCTGATGCAGTATTTCCCCAGTCCAAGTGAATGCAAGAAACCCGCCACAGTAACATGTTCATCAAGATGCATAAAGGTACTAATTATAAAGCACAACAGTGGATCAAAACTTAAGGTCGGAGATCAATATATGTAACTTATACATATTGCATTATGTATATTAGAAATAGTAAGTACCTTCTGAGAGATATGTTGCATAGTTCTTAATGTCTGTCCAACTCGCAGAACCACTGCACCGCTAGTCTCAGGAGGAGCATGTTTTATTGTTGTACGAGGTGAAGAGCATGTTAACCAAGATCTAGGTGGCGGCACATTCTGAGCACCAGCATTCGGCACCAAACTTCCGCTGCTTGGTAAATTAACTAGCCTAAGTGACTACTGGAAATTCTGGGTGGTGATAGCTCACGAGTAGGTGTGGATATTCTATCGGGGGACCTTGCTCTTCTTGATCCTCTTGTCAAGAACTGAGAAGAGTAGAGTACCCCACTCTCGCTGGCATATTGTTCAAGATAAGTTGGCAGCCTCAGATTGCTATAGTGACTACTGGAAGAAGGCCTGCTCGGTAAAGTTCTATAATTCGTAGGGGCTTCACTGGATCTTGATGATGTTGGATGTACTGCAACTTTCTTGGGGTACTTCACAGCATCGTGTGATCTCTTCAACTGCCTTTTACGAATGAGCTTCAAGCGGAGATCATTACTAGCGATTCGAGATCCTTCATGCGTTTCAACCCACTAGAGAAAGTAAGTGAACAAGAACACACATAACTGAGTTCAAACATATTAGCACATAGATATTTATCTAGAATGCTACCTTTCTCTTCAGAATGACTAGGACTCCATTTCATGCGATCTCCTCGATGCCTAGAGAACAACATTCAAGAAATCATTCTTAGACGATGCTAAACTACTTATTGAGGCAGAAGAGAAACCACAAACAACTATTGCTCAAACTATGGAAGTGAAAGTCGTCATGACAGAATCAAATGTAGGAGCTCAATCGCTGCCGCGACAATTAATTAGTATTGGGTATCTTATTCCAACTTATCCTCATTCATAGACTTCAAATTTCTTGTCACAAGAAGGCAATCAAGACCCTTTGGCTCTTCTTGCTCGAAACTAATTCAAAGTTACCGAGTAATTGACAAAGACAAAGGGCCACACAAGTTACAGCCTACAAGAGAGAGAAAGAGGGTGACACATCGTTTGTTGGAAGACATCAATGACCCTTCCCCTGGAGACCGTTTACCTTCCTTAGTCACCACCTGAAAAAATAAAAAAATCCAGAACACCCAATTGAACACCAAACACGAGATTACTCAAATGAAGCTATTATAGTGTGTACAAAGCATAATTGCGGAACCCAAATTGCACAAAGATAGAGAGGGAGGAAGCAATATAGGTTACAAAACGAAAGAAGAAGCAGGGGGCGAAGGGAAAAGGAGTTTGGTTACCTGACCAGAGCGGCCGAGAGTGATGGTGACCCTTGGGTTGGAGCCGGAGGACATAACTTTTAGGTCCCTCTCTCCCGGCGAAAGTTGAAGAAGATAAAATCAAGCCAGGAGGTAACGAAGATACGAAAATCGGCAGTGCCTCGGTGCGTCGATGGATAGAACGAAGGAGGGAGAGCTGAAAAGGGACCAAATTAGACAGCGGGGCTCCGATGTCGGAGTTGTCTGCCTTTCTTCGCAAGGGCATAACCAGAGAGGCGAAGAGTAAGTTCTGCTTTGTTTGTCTGTATGCAAGTCGAGCGTGGGCTGGCCCCTGAGGAAGGGCTATAGGCCTTGAGCCTTGCTTGCTAATGCTATTCCATTGGTTGATAATAATAATTATGATAAATTATTATTTATTATTTATGTTATTAAAAGAACAAGTAACAAGCATGTTTTTCGGGAGAGTAACTTCGTTGCTCATTATATAGACGGTCTCGGCCATTCTCTGCCTATAAGGTTGCATGTGTTTGATAATCCGAGCTCGATGATGAATTATTGGCTGTATTTTGATCTTGTTGGAGTTCAGACTCCCAGGTTAGTAATCAATTAAGGGTTAGAGCGCCCCTCTGCGCTCTGATTTTCAAAAAAAGAAAAAGAAAAAGAACAAGTAACAACGATACTATTACTTAGAGTAACATCACACAACTGATTTTTTGTAATTAGTAAAAATTTGGAGGGGTTTAAATGGCATTGAGTTCTAATTAATTAGCTCATGACAATTGGGTCCAAGTTTGTTAATTTCTATTTCCTAGTCACATCAACTATGCTTGTTTTATTGTTAAAATTTTTATTAATTAATCAAATATTTTAAATATTTCCTCTTATGTCAATTCAACCCAAACTCATGTGTTCAGACTAATTCAATATGATATTAGTGTTGCCGAATTTTAGGTCGGGAACGAATTTAACCCGTTTTTGTAATTAAAGAATTGGGGCATAATCAAATATTTTAATATTTTCTCTTATAACAATTGAACCCAAATTCATTTTTGTTCAAGCTAATTCGACCTGGTATCGGCGTTGTCAAATTTTAGGTAGGGAACAAATTTTACCTGTTTTTGTAATAACTGTACAGTGTCATTAATCAAATGTTTAAAATATTTCCTCTTATAACAATTGAACTCAAATTCATGTGTGTTCAAGATAATCAGATTCGGTATCGGTGTTGCCAAATTTTAGGTCGGGAACGAATTGTACTCGCTTTTGTAATTAACGAATTGGGTAGTGCGTGGAATTTGTTAAAAACTTGTCCCACTTTAACAAGTTAAATCCAATGTTGACGAATTTTGGGTCGAGGACTGACTTTAGGGATGGCAATGGGTCGGGTTACGTCGGGTTTTGCTAAACCCAAAGTCGAACCCGTGGGTTTATCCGTAAAAAAAACATGGGGTAAAACCCAATGGGTTTGGAAAACTCAAACCCAACCCAAACCGCTGGGTATCCGTGGGTTCATGGGAACCCATGGGTTTTTGTGACAAAAAATTTACAATTACAAGTTCCTATCAAAATAAAAGTCAAACATCAATTTCTCCATACAATTTTTTTTTTTATAAACAATTTCCCCATACATAAAAGACGAGTCTAGAAAACTAAAACAAATCACATATTATCCATACAAATTATAAATTAGATTGGGGGAAATTAGAATTAGGGTAGGATTTGGAGAGAGCCGGTGACGAAATAAGTGTGGGCGCCGGGCGGTACCCATAGGTTCGGGTTTTGTTGCCATCCCTACTGGCTTTACCCTTGACACTTTTGGGGCGTGAATAAATTTTATCCACTTTTGTTATCATTGAATTGGGTCATTAATCAAATGTTTTAAATGTTTACTCTTATAACAATTGAACCCAAATTCATGTGTGTTCAAGATAATTCGACCCGGTATCGGTGTTGTCAATTTTTAGGCTAGGAACAAATTTTACCTGCTTTTGTAATTGAAGAATTGGGTCGGGTGTGGATTTGTTAAAAAATCGCCCTAGTTTATCGAGTTGAATCCAGTGTTGACGAATTTTGGGTTGAGGACGAGTTTTACCCTTGAGACTTTGGGGGCCGTGAATGTATTTTTCCTTTTTGTAATCATGGAATTGGGTCAAGAACGCATTTTACTCGCTTTTTTCGACTCTGTATCAGTGTTTCCGAATTGTAGACCGGGAAAATTATATCCGCTTTTGTAATTAACGAATTGGGTAGGGTGTGGATTTTGTTAAAAACTCGCCCCGCTTTATCGAGTTGAATCCAATGTTGACGAATTTTGGGTCGATAATAGGTTTTATCCTATACACTTTTGCGGGTGCGAATGAATTTTATCCACTTTTGTAATCATTGAATTGGGTCGGGAACGCATTTTACCCGCTTTTTCAATCTAATGCAACCTGGTCAAAGCGAGTTGAACCTATATTGACCACTTTTGGGTCGGGGATGAATTTTATTCCATTTGTAATTCGACTGGTATCGGTGTTGCCAAATTTTAGACCTAGTATATGTGTTTTGACTCATCTACAGTCCTGCTACTCTTAACTCGATTTGACATTTAAAAAAAATTCACCTTGCTTGCCTCTACTGTTTCGTGTGTACACCTGTTCGTGTGTACTGCGATTCTAATGTTGTTGGCTGCTATTGTGTTCCCTTATGTAGTTATTCTATTTGTGTTGGTGACCTGATTCAGAATTCTTCTCTTCCTAACTTTTTTTGTGTTTCAGCTACCGCTACTCCACTTTTTCGTGCTACTGCACTTTTTAATACTACTACTGTTGTAGGTGGTGTGGAGTAAGCTCTAGATTTGATTATGTACAACTATGTCCAATGGGTCAACCAATTTCTTTTAGATACCTTATGTGCCTCTAATGCTGAGATGAGATCAAGTCTATGAATGTTTTTGTTATTTGCAAGGGCTTACGGTCACCTGTGGAAATAACAATTCATGAATCACATTTGCAGTTAATCCAACATTGTGCAAATAATATTCATGAATCGTTATTTCCAATTTCTCATGTGGAAGATGAAATTCAGGGATTTACTTGCAAACTCATTTCTCATAAATTACAGATAATTTACGTCTACTTGATAATTTAAGGTTTGCCATCATAAGGGAATGTTGATTTTCTCTTAAATTTCTCTTGAATATGTCAAATAACTTTATTTGCACTATATAAGAGCATGTTAGAGTGAATCGGATGTGGTGCTACTCTCTCTAATATTTAGCGGATCTTGCCTTGAACAATAACGGGTGCACTAAACTTTGCTTATCGTTTAGCAGATCCTCCCTCTAATATAGAGCATTCATGTTTTCTTAAATTGCATTTCATGTAAACTGATTATCCAGCCGCGAAGCACGGACTTCCATTCTAGTATATTCTTAAGGGCCAAATTGATTTCAAGAGAACGGTCAGCCAGTAACAATGTGTTTAGACCGGCCTTTACACATATATATCTTTAAGTACTTATTTTATCATGGTTAGTGGTTATCAGTTACTGAAAACCCAAACCGGAGATCATACCACATTGTTTAATTTGGACAAATGCCCGAATTAAACAAAATAGCAATGAGCCAAATACTAACTAACCGAATATGAGAAACCAAAGTACAAAAGACATCGAGTAAAATTCACAACTTCACCAATTAATCTTAAAGTCTAACTAAATCAATTTTTAACAAAGTGCAAACATTACCTTTTATAACAGTTTTTGAATCCCTTATCCCTAAAACGCCTAGAGATGCAATCTTATGCATATAACGAGCAAGAAAACATTTCTCCCCCAACTCAACACATCTCTTTTGTCTCTTCGCAAACCACAACAATACAAACACATCTCCTACATTGTTGTTTGTCTCTTAATTATTAAGGAAAACTCATGTAACAGTTATAAAACATTATTACATAAATTTTCATAATGTGTGGCCTAATAGTATAATCAAGTTATAGTAAGTAACTTTGACGAATTCTTAATTTATAATTTATATAACTTTTATTGAATGACGTTACATAAATATTTCATAATATGTGGTCTAATAATAAGGGCTAATACCACTAGGAAACCCAAACTATCAACAATGTGTCATTTGTGTCCCGAACTATTCAATATGACATTTGTGTCATGAGGTATGGTTGTTGTATGTCATTTATGTCCTAGCAATTTTGTTAACCGTTAAAGATAACGGTTGACCTAACGGTCATCAGTGAAATGTTGACCGTTGGTGACGTGGCACATATGTGATGGCAACGTCAGCTGACACATAAGATTATTTATGAAAAAAAATTAAAAAATAAGTAAAACAAATTTCTTAACAAAAATCTTCTTCCCCAGCACTTCCACCATCCTCCGCCGAATCCGACCCTTCGAATCACGACATTGAATCCGGACGGCGACTGTGTTGAAGAGACGCGAGGAAGAAGGAACTGAGGCTCCCATCAGTGCCTCCTTCATCAGGCCATAAGCCATCAGGTCGTCTTCAATCACGTCGACGTTGAAGTGGATATGCGCCTGATTAGCATCCAACTCCCTGCCGACCCCATTCATCCTCTAACAGTAGCCTCATCAATCCCCTTCTTCTCCTAACTCTCGACCTATTAAGAGGAAGGGGAATGGTGTCTTTCACTCTCTTCTCTTTTCTCGACATGATGAGGGGAAGGGGAATGGTGGTTTCACGACATCGTCTGCAGAATACCTCAAAACCTAATTTCTGATCCACTAATTTCTGGAGATGCAAATTTTGGGCAAACGTGCAAAGGGGGTCCTCCGATTGAGCTCAAAGTCGCGGGGGATTCCTTCGATTTTGTGGGTTCAATATGTTTTGTCGCTTCCGCTTGCAGAGCGTTTGATGGTTGTGGATCGTGACGGCGACGCTCCAAGGTTGTGACCGGAATCGAGGGAAACTACAAACTTGGTCGCTATGCGTGAGTGTTGTGAATGGTGACGGTGGCACTCCATGATTGTGACCTGGACGGCGGCGATCAGAGCTCGAGCACAGCCTCGGCAACTATTGGAACTCCAACAACGACGTGCAGATTTGGCACGATAGTGGTGATTGCAGAGGAAGGAGAAAGGGGAGAGGTTGGAGGCGAAGAAGGGGACCGTGAGAGGTATGATTTTTTTAATTTTTATTATAATTTTTTATTAGATGGAAAAGTAAATAAAAATAAATATTAAAATTCCACGTTAGATGCCACATCAGCGGCTGACTAGGCTTTTATGTTAAAAACTAACGGTCAACGCCAATAAACTCTAACGGAAAAATAGTTTATGACACAAATGTCATATGTGATACTTTGGGACACAAATGACAGTTTCTTAATAGTTCGGGTTTTCTAATGGTATTAGCTCTAATAATAATTGCTTATAATTTTAGACTAATGGTAGAAGTGATTGTAGGGAATAAAACTCATATGAATAATATTGCAGTAAAGGAGAAAAAGGGGCTTATTGTAAAATTGGGTATATTGGATAAAACCCTATTGAAATAGTACCCGTGGAGAAAATAGCCTATTTTTTTCTTAATGAATAGTGAAAAGTGCTTGTGCTTTTAATAATAATAATAATAATAATAATAATAATAATAATAAATATAATAATAATAATAATATGGATTATAATAATATAATATATGTATATATACATATACATATATATTTTTATTAGTGGTCAGTAGTAGCTGTTGATGAGTCACAACGAGAGAAAGTCATGTTCACTCAATATAAGTGCAGGGTTGTGCAGTGTCATACATAACAAAGTTATACACTGTATTCGCTCCCCATACATTTGCTACAAACAAAATCAACTCTTGGTAATTTCTTCCTTTGTTTTTAATGCATTTTATCACCCTAATATAAAAATAAAAATAAAAATAAAAATTACAAGGGAAGTTGATCCAACAAAAAGCGTTCGATATGATTCTTCAAGAAGGTTGGATAGATGTTAGGGATAATGGGTTAGGTATAATTCGAGCTGAGTTTTAAAAAAGCAAACAAAATCCAATCCTACAAATACTACGAATGCATGAACTCACATGGGTTCAAGAACATAGCCATAGATTATTACTCCGTTAATCTATTAACTTTAAAAAGAAATTTGGATTGAAAAAAAATTTCAACGACGAAAATTAGTTATAAAGCGATGAAGTTTCTCATTGTGGATTCTTGGAGTGTATCTCAAGTGACACTTTATGTCGCTAAAAAATATGGATGGATGAACAGTTTTACTGACAAAAATTAGTTATTAAATAGCTTTGTAAACTACTTCATAACTAAAATTGAAATGTCCTATTTATTTGATGAATTCTGAAGTACGATTTTTTTGTTTGCTCTATAAACAACATAAGAAGCCTCATAATGAACTCCGGCTCGGAACAAGAAGCAGAGGTCGTTCCTTTTGCAACAACAACCCAAACTTCTCGCTCATATTCATCTCTCTCGGATCCTCCTCGCCGGGAAGACACCAGTCGAAGCTCCGAACCAAGGCAGCCAAAACCAACGGAACCTGCCTGGTGGCCAACGGCACTCCCGGGCACATCCTCCTCCCAGAGCCGAACGGGAGCAGCTCGAAATCCTGGCCTCTGAAATCCACCTTCGACCCAATAAATCTCTCCGGTCTGAACGACGCCGAATCATCGCCCCAGATTGCCGGATCCCTCCCAATCGCCCACACGTTGACTAAGACCTGAGCCCCCGCCGGGATCGTGTAATCCATCACCTCACAACTCTCCGCCGCTCGATGCGGCAGCAGCAGCGCTCCCACGGGATGCAGCCTCATCGTCTCTTTCACGACCGCATTCAAGTACGACAGCTGAGCCAACACGGACTCGTTGATCAGCGGCTCCCCAGGGAGCGGTGGCAACATTACTTCTCTCTTCAGCTCCTCCCGCAGTTTGTTCATGGCTCCCCTGTTCCGAACTAGCTCTGTCATCGCCCATTCGATCGTCAGAGCCGTAGTGTCGGTTCCGGCCACGTACAATTCCTGTAAGAAAACCATAGCGCAAAAAAGCTAAGCTAAGCAAAAGCTAATAATGTTGCGGAAAATCCTTCTTTCAACTTTAATTACCAGAGTCAACCAGTTGATTTGGTCGTCGTCAAGTCCATTCTCCAGGAAGATGTCCAAGAAATCTCCAGCTTTATCTCCCTCTTGCTTCTTTCTCTTTTCTCTCCTCTCCTTGACGTAAGGCGCGAAAATGGAGTAGATCTGGTTGAGAGTGCGAGATGCCTCGCGTGTCAGGCCCTGTAGATCCAAATTCTTCAGAATCGGGAAAAAATCCGCGAGATTAGGAGCAACTCCCAGTTCTATCAACCTCTGGATCAAGGATCTCAATTGATTCTTGGTCTCATTTCTTTCGAACCCGATGCAATCGCGAGAGAAGATGAGATTGGACAGCGAGTCGAAAATGCTACTGAAAGCGACTTCCTCGATACTAACCGATTCCCCTAATTTCCCGCCGAGAAATTCGACCATCTCTGCGACCTTCTTCTCCCTGAGGGCGGCTTGAGATTCAATTGCCTTGTTCGAGAATATCTGGTTCCTGAACATGGCACGGAAATCCTTCCATTGGCTGTTGCAGCTGGAGGCCCAAATGACTGCCTTGCGGGCAAGCTCCGTCGCGGTGTAAGGGAAGACTCTGGAGATGAATCTAGCGGAGAGGATGCGGTCGTGGGTTCTCAAGATCTCGGAGGCGGCTGCCGGAGAATTGGCCACGACGAGGTGTTGCGAGCCCAGGCGGAAGGATATGAGAGGGCCGTACAAGTTGGAGAAGTGTTGGAAGGAGAGGTGAGGCATTTTGCCTAGGTGAGGGAGGTTTCCTACTATCGGCCATGGTTTTGGCCCCGGCGGAAGCGGCTTCTTGGGAGATAATGCAGGGTTGGCGAGAAGTCGGGGAAGGATTATGATGACGAGAATGGTGATCACGGAGACTGGGAGGAGAAGAAGAAGTAGTGAGATCAGTACCATTTTTGTAATATCAGAGATTTGATTTGATTTGATAAAAGGCTTATTATTCACGAAGCAAAGCTTTGATTTATACAGAAACCCTTTTTAGCTTGTATTCATAAACAATGTGTTCAATGATTTTTGTATATATATATATATACAAATGACCTGCAGGGGACAAGCTCGCCAGAGGAATCTTGGGATGATTGACAGTCAAGTCAAGACAATGAAGACATAGATATGCACCCCATCAACCAATTTTGTAAACTAAAATAACAAAAAACAGATCTTCCCATGATTTCATGAAAAATTAATTAAAGAAGATTTGGAGGAAAAGATACTTCTGTGGAGCAAGGTTATATTTAAAGGATAATTCACACAAGAATCGACACTTGTAAGTTAAAAGATGAACCTGCATGATATACAACAACATGTGTTCAGTGGCGTAGTCAGACTTTGAGTTTACTCGAGTCCTTATATACTTACCAATACTAAAGACTATATATCTAATGAACTTTGAGTTGAGTGAGTTCCTGTAAAAATTTACTACTATTATACATGTAAGAATAGTGTTGGATTTATGGTATCATCAAGTAGGATGGCAAGGATCTAGACGAAGACGTGTGGTTTTTGTTGGCTCGTTAAAAAAGTTTTTTTTTTTTTGGGTAGGAATGAGCGAATGGTGATGCGTCTCGAATAAATTGATCAAATTAAGACGATTTATATGGTTATTGAGTCCGATTTAAATGGACTCATATGTACTTTTAATGGTTCTTGGTTTGGGTTGAGTTTGAATTTGGTCCAGTTTGGATTAGACCCAAATGATTCTATTTTGGTTTAGATGATTGTATACACAAATTCAAATAAATCTATTTGGATTAAGATGATTGTACACACAAAATGATATTGTATCAACCATCTCATTAACTGCCTTTAACCTAATTACACCTAGGGGTGATAATCAGTTGCCGGTTATACGGTTTAACCGAACAACCGAACCGTTGGTTAAAGACCGAACCAAAAACCGATAATAGTCTGGCGGTGTCGGCGTCGGTTGGTAGATTTGGGTTATAATTCTAACCGAAAACCGCGAGTGAAGTAACCGAGATAAACTCGGTTCACCGAAAAACCGACTTCTCACCCCTTTAGTCTCCCACTGCAAGTTTGCAACCCCCACTCTCTTCCTCTTCCTCGTCCAAGACAACAAGATTTTCCCTCTCCTCTCGCCAGTCTCTCCCTTCTTCTCCGTTCCCTTCTCCTCCCTCCTCCATCGCTAACCCGTATCGAAAAACAATAAGGCGCCTTTGTCTCTCCCTCTCCCCTAGCCGCTCTCCGCCTCTCCCCCTTTCTTCCTTTCCCTGTATCCTCCAGATCCAAGGTCACAAAGCGGCGATTTGGTTCTCCTCCGCCGATAAGAAAGCGGCGATAGTCGAGATTCAACGAACAAAGGTCAAGAAGGAGAAGAGGGGCGTTGTTGGCTTGCTCTAGTGAAGATCGATCGTCCATCGCCATCTCCGTCCCCTGCTTCCTCGTTGTCCGTCGCCGTCGCCATGCCTTCCTCGGTGTCCGTCGCCGTCACTTGATAGAAGAAAAGAAGACATGCAAGGGGTGATTGTCACCCCCTACTTCTGTCGATTTGCCCTCTTGGATCCTCGCCGGTTCTAATTGCCACCTCACCCCCAATTCCATCCAGAAATTTGGTGATTTGGCGGCGAGATTCGACAGTCGGATCCAGAAATTCGGCCAGATCCACCCCTTGCGTCGGTCTTCAGCTAACCGCGACACCGACCCGAAACCGTGACGGCGGTTTTCGGCTAACCGACGAGGCAATCGGTGTCGGTGGCGGTTGGGGTTTTTGGATGATTGTCGGCTGCGGTTAACCGCATTGGCGGTTCGGTTAAAACCGAAACCGCACCGCTAACAGCCCTAATTACACCTTTAATGTTAGTATTTTTTACATTTCTGTTTGTTTCATAACCTAATTCAACCTAATTTGAGCCTTGAAGTGACAACCAAGTATAGTTGATATATCTTTCCTTTCTCCATGCATTTTCGCAAAATGAAAGCTGATTTCTGTGCCAGCTGGAGAATATGGGAAGATGCAACTACCATGTGAAACTCCATCTATTACCCAGGATATGCGGCATGCATGCCAATGAGAGAGGAGATACGAATCTGCCACTATTGGGCCGTGTTTGTTTTTGTGGTAGCGGGCCTGACCACCTCTGCTTGGAAACCGCTGGCGTATAGCCTTTATTTTAGTCGCTGAAGAGCTTCGTTTATTGATTTGAATAAGATACGAATCCGCTGTACCATTCAATGTTTACCTAAGAAAACAATCGTTTGTCAATTTCATTATTTGTCTGAGCTTCAGCTTAGTTAGTTCAGACAATAATATAGGAAGGCCAACAAACATAAAAAAAAAAAAGGATAGTTTTTCTCAATGATTGTAAATTATTATATCATGAGTTTCTATTATTGAATTTTTCTGACAATTAGGTTCTATTATTGACTAGTATGATGCATGCACATATTCTCTCCAATAAGCCGCACAAGATATTGTTGAAAAAACGAGAGGCAGTTATATAGGCACGGGTTCCACCAAAGTGCCGGTGATCACTTCTTTCATGAAGGTCTTGGCATTTGTGTAAGTGTCCTCGTCTTTATACAACAAGTCCATGACTCGCACCAGGTTGACTATGGCTGTCAGAATTGGCAACGAAACCTTCAAAGGTCGCAACAGATCTTCATTTACGTCTTTCCACAAAATTTCCACCAAGTTGTTCAACTCCACATATGCCTCTTGTTTTGACACACCATGTTGCTTCATGTAACACTCCACGGACGAAGCAACATGACCCCTCTCTTGCTCGAACTTTCCAAGATATGACGATAGCGGAATAACATTAATCGTGATTAGGTGTTATCAACATATATATTGATGCACACATCAATATTATACATGTTACATATGCAAAAAAATTCAAAAGGGATCGGCAGGTCAGTTATATATATCTATACCTCGTGAGAGACTATGTCGTCCATGAGTCTGACAATGCTAGAACCAGCCACAACAATATTAGGGTTTGGTTGATTGAACAGCCATTGGAAGACCTCTTCTGAAGCAGCTTCCCCCATCCCACAACAAAGAATTGTCATACCTAGGGGATAACCCACACTCACATAACCATTAGGCACATATTCTTCCATTTTTGGTATGTAACCTTTGTTGTACCACCTTGCTTCCTTGATGTATGTTCTCACCAACTCTTTCACCTGTAATTCATATACTTAATAGTAGTTTTTTTTTTGTGTGTGTGGGTAAATTGGTGCCTTTTTGTAGTGAATTGATTAAGCAAATAGCAATTACCCCTCTCCTTGCATACACCATACAGAAGGACCTGCCTTCCTTTGATACATGAGCTTCTATGTCAGCAAACAGGTCAAGCAATGTGTTGAACCAAAACTTGAAATAGTTCGGCACCACATCTTCGTCACTGATCCCCCACCTGATGATCAAGCATTCATTTAACAATATAAAATGATTACTGTATTGTAAGGGGATACAAATGGTAATAAAGGATGTATGTAGTAACGAATTATCAACCTCTCAATGACATTGACGATGCACTCGAGTTCATCAAGAGTGCCGTGGACATCGAAGATATCGTCTAGGATGGAGACAAGTGCAGTCAATTTGGTGAGGAATATTCTGCCGGTGGTATGATCTGGCTTTACGAGTGGCCCCAATGCCCATAAGTAACATTCTATCATTCTGTCTCGCGCAAATGGAAGCGTGTTCGACGTATCCAAATCCATCCACCACCTATACATATTATTATTAATTAATAAAATTTCATATAGAGAAAAATATTAGATTTTGTCACATACCCAGAGGAAGATAACGTGAAACAAAATAATTAAATTATGAATAGTTACTTGGTAAGAAGTTTAAGCTCGTGTTGATGCAACTTCTGCCCCAAGTTGAAATCCAGCTTCCCTAGCTTCAGAATGGCTTCGTTGTGGGTCTCGTCTTGTTGGTAAAACGACATGAAGTGCCTCGACTCTCTTATGGGCAGCCCTTTGAGTATGGGCCATTTCAACGAGTGTCTCACTCGGTCAGCCCAAGGCGAGTCCTCTAGCCGGGCAATGGGCCCAAGTTGAGTTCTTGCGAACTCAAGTGCTTCATCCAATATCTGTTCTCCATTCACTCTGTAGTAAGCAGCTTCGTACAAGCTCAGCAGCCCTTTCACGTCGCCGGCCAGATCGTCCTTGAAGTTGCCCTTCTCGTCTTTGAATTTCTCCAACACACGCGTGGGATTGATGGGATAGCCCTGCTGCCTGAGAAGCCGGAACCGGAGGGAAACGGCGTACAAGTCAGCGTTGTCATCATCATCATCATCGGTGCAGGAGATTTGAAGGAGAGCAGCTTCGATTTCTTGTTCGAAATGGTAAGCGATGCCAAGCCTTTGCACGGCGTCAATCATCTCCAGCCTTTCCAGAATCGTATTGGTGATCTTCTTATCATCATTACTGGAAGCTCCCCTGAGCAGTTCCCTGACTTCTTCCGTCAGTTGCCGAGCTTCCTTCAAAGTCTGTTAATGCATGTGACATTAATTAAGAAAAGGAAGTGAGTCTGTGAGTGAGTGGTAAAACAGAGAGGTTTAGGGGTACCTGCTGAGAATCATGATGATCGACGGCGATGGAGCGGGCAAAGAAATCATTCCAGACAGAAGGGTGAAAATCAACCCTTTTTCTTCGTAATTCTACAGCTGGTTGGTCAACAGTAACCATTGCCGCCATCTCTCTCTCTGCTCTTCTTTATGGTTTTGTAATGAGCTTAAATTTGTTGTTTGCCTGCAACATATATATAGGCCCTACATGGATGAATCATGCAGCGGTTTCATTTACTTCCACTTTCCACTTCTATCTTCTTACCTTTCTTAATTTTTTTTTTTTGGGTATTTGAGCAGAAAGTCAATTGTGAGTTAGGTAATTCGGCTTGCATTTAAATTTAATGATAATCGAAGAATCAACGATGCATTTATGTTTAGCTAGCTAATCAATTGTCTTGAGTGACCTGAGAGATGAAAGTCATAACTACATAATTAATTTCTTGAAAAGAATATCATTTAGTACCGAACTAAAAGCGTAAATTAGTTTTGGTGAACTAGAAGTTTTAAAGTGCAATTTAGTCCGATTTTATACACTAAAGTTTTTATATAGAAACAAAAGTATTTTATTAGCAATCTATAAGGGTAAATTTTAAAATTTTAAAATACGATTTTACTATATTGTAGGAAACGTTAAATAAGTGTAAGAGTTTCTCTTTCTTTAGACAGCGTGCGGACCTGTTGCCCAGACACTCACTGCCTTATATCATCTAGCGGAGGTGGCGACTTTTGTCCTTTTGTTTGCAGTGGCGTCGGAAAGAGAAAGGGGGGCCAAGTTTAGATCAACCTAGGTAGATAGTGGCCAAATAGAATCGACGTACGGCGGCGCCTGAGAGCTTTAGGTCTTTCGTTATCCGTATAATATATTCTTTTGATTTCCTTTTCGCCGGCGCATTAGAAAACACGACTGCTGATTTTAGCAGAGAGTTGTGTTGTAAGTGTATGCCAAGTGGACTGCATGCATGCTAGGCAAAATGGCACTGGTTAATTATTAATTAATCGTAATAAAAACAAGGCTACTCTCCATGCATGCACGCTCCCCATGACATCACGTACCTTTTCTGTATCTAAAATACTATATGTCCTTTTGTTTGCAGTGGCTTCTGCACAGTTATCGGTGCAACTCAACACGTTTGACTGTGGCGGGATTGCAATCGGGTTGAGCATGTACCACAAGCTCATGGACGGTTTGACCGCCAACACATTCCTCCACACCTGGGCCGGTAACTGCAAGGGCAATTCGGCAGCACGGCTGAAGAAACAGCCGGAGTTGAGTAAACCATCCTCCGTTTTCCATCCCAGCGAGTCAATCTCTCGAGAGCGCCTAGCGTTTATGAAAGACGTGTATTTTCAGAGCGTCCATCACCAACAACAACAACGAAAGGGAGCCTGAGGAGATTTGTGTTCGACAAGAATGCAATAGCCAGGCTGAGAACCATGGCGAGGAGTAGCAAAGTTGTGGATCCAACTCGTCTCGAAGCTCTGTCTGCTTTCATTTGGGAATCCGCACTCAAGGCAGTTGCTGCTGATCAGCGGCCGCAGCAGCAACGGTAATGTTTCACACAGGCTGTTAATGATTATGACTTTGGTTGGGGAAAGCCCGTTTGGACCGGCTTATCTGGAGACCCTAGCGGAAATCAAGCTTTTCTCAACAATAACATCTTTTTGAAGAATTTAACCACTACGGGGCATGAAATTTCCAATGCGATAGAGGCATGGATAAGGCTAGATGAAGATGTCATGGCTCGTCTTGAACACGATCCTCACTTCACCCAATATGCTTCCCCAAATCCACCCATCATTCTCAACTGAACGTGATCATACGGTCTTATGATTGATCTGGGATAATAAATGTTTTGTATTCTCTATGTTATGGTTTCAATACTGGTAATATAAAAATGGGACGTTGGCCCATATTTTTACGTCATTAAAGTACAACATTTCATTTACAGGAAGAAATCAGCTGGTTCAGTAAATAACGGTAAGTCCGCGTGCTCTTCCAAGATGTGGATATAGAAAACGAAAAAAGAGTATATCCGGTTTCCAACTAATTAAAATTCTTCGACATAGCGAGCAATCCGTAAAAACATTATCTAGTACAAATTCCATATTTACAAAATCTTGCATAACTCCATCTTCAGAAATTTTCAAACGACTGAAATCTATTCATTATCCCCCATCACACGCTCAACCTACACATAATTGTTCACATGAATGGATGTTGATTAATATTTTTCACGACCCGCCAAATTATGAGTGAGTAAATTTTGAGGCTTCCCAATTAAATCCAAAGACAGCTATGACATAATAGCAGGTAGCTATTGCGAACTAGACCGGTTGTAACTGAACCTCGGTATAAGGTTGAATATTGATATCATATACTTAAATGAGCTGGATTAAAATATCAGTTGTCCTGGTCCGCAGCCGGTAGAGGAGCCGCCTTCAGGAAAAAAGATATAGCACAAAATTATTTTTTATATATAATAACAATAAAAATAATAGCATCGACTAACCTCTCTATATATATAAGTAACCACCCTGCAATCCTCGAATCCCAAGTAATATCCCTAACCTTCAGAACTTGGAGTTTATTTCATCCTCTCAAAAGCAAAGGATCGGCATCATGATCAGTACTAATGGAGGAGGAGACGGGAAAGTCGCGGTCTGCGTGACAGGAGCTTCAGGTTTCGTAGCTTCATGGCTGGTCAAGCTTTTGCTACAACGTGGCTACACCGTCAATGCCACTGTTCGTGACCCAAGTCAGACTCCCTCTCTCACTCTCACTCTGTACTTTTTTTCTTTCTTTCGTTCTTTCTTTTCCTCTGAGTTTGACTCCTCTATTTTTGCGGACAAACCAAAAGGTGACGAAAAGAAGACAGCCCATTTGCTAGGATTGGATGGAGCCAAGGAAAGGCTGCATCTTTTCAAAGCAGACCTGCTGGAAGAAGGTTCTTTCGATTCCGCCATTGAAGGGTGCGTCGAGGTTTTCCATACAGCTTCCCCCGTTGCCTTATCCACCGCTGATCCACAGGTCTTGTTTCTTTTATTGCACAGTATTTACAGAGGTTTTTGTCATGCATTTCTTCTTCTTTATTTCAACACATGACTTTGTTTTCTTCCGGCAGGCGGAGATGATTGATCCTGCGGTCAAAGGAACCCTCAACGTGCTCAAGTCCTGCGCCAAGTATCCTTCAGTGAAGAGAATGGTCCTAACCTCCTCTGTCGCATCAGTTGTCTACACAGGAAAACCAGTTGACCAAGACTCAGTGGCTGATGAAACATGGTTCTCTGATCCAGAGTTCTGCAAGGAACATAAGGTGGGTTGTAAGAAATCATGGCGTACGTAATTTTCAGTTTACGAGGATACAATGAACTAAAGTTGGATTCTTTTCTTCCAGCTCTGGTACCCACTTGGGAAGACCTTGGCCGAGATGGCTGCCTGGGACTTCGCAAAGGAAAATGGAATCGACATGGTGACAATACATCCTGGCTTCGTAATTGGTCCCTTCTTACACCCAGCTCTCTGCACTTCAGTGGGCATGATTCTCAGTCTGGTTAATGGTAAGGAACGTAATAACGGTTATTCCCAACACTTCTATTAACAAAGCAAAAACCACTTCCCTTTTGCTCTTCAAAGTAATAGTGATTAATAAATAAGTAACTTCTGGGTGCAGGAAACAAGACTTACCCAAAATTTCATTGCTGGTCGGTTGATGTTAGAGATGTTGCAGAAGCCCATATTAAAGCCCTTGATCATGAGAACCAAGTATCAGCTTGTGGAAGATACTGCTTGGTTGGAAGTAGTGTGCCATTCTCACAAGTTTTGGGGATTCTTCATAAGCTCTACCCAACGTTGCCTCTAGCTGACCAGTACGTATACCTTACTATAGGAATTTTCATTTTAGTATTTTTCTATTTTCATTTGTTCTTGGTTCAAAAGAACGCAAAAAGGGGCAGGGAAAGAAAGTTGAACGTCCAATTTGGTTTGATTGTGTGTGTTTGTAACAGGTGTGAAGAAGTGAATAGTCTGAAGCTACCGGAGTTCGAGGCATCCAGGGAGAAGGCAGAAGATGGCTTGGGGATCAAGTTCATGCCACTAGAGGAGTCTCTCAAGGACACAATTGAATGCTTAAAGGAGAAAGGATACCTTCATTTCTGATCTAGATCAAGACTGCGTGTTCAACTAATCGGTTCAAAATGAAAACGACGTTATTGTTGTAATATTTGTACCCCATGCAATCATCTTTCGTGTATGCTTATTGCTTTCGATCTATTGAAAACGGAGTATTTTAGTAGCTATAAAATCTGTCATAGAACCGAGCAAATAAAGTCTGAGTTAATTTCGCAAATGTTTATTGAATTGGTGATTACTAGATTTCAATAAAGAAACTAAGCAATCATTCTGATAGAAAGCGAGCATTATAAGGTAATGAATAATATTCGTTTTCCAGAGCTACGTACGAATTACACAGCACGTGATAGTTAATTAGTACGTATCATGCATGCATGAGTTTTCGTATCATCGTGCACAGATAGGGGCGGCTTGCATAGTTAACTACGTTAGGTTTCTGCATGCTTTAAATATTGTTTATGTGATTAATTAGTTGACTTGGTCAAAATTTCTATTTGATAATATTTTTTAATGAATGAGTAAATTTACATCAGCTTAGTTTGGTCTGCTGTAGCTTTCGCAGAAATAGCTTCTGGCTGGAGCTTTTAGATAAGTACTTTTAAAAAAAACAGTTTAGTGTTTGGCTGTAAAACTATTAGAAGTGCTTTTTAATATGAGCGGTTGTGTAAAATGACTATAAATGACTTATAATATAAAATATGAAATAAAAATTCTAAATAATAAAAAGTAGTAAAAATGGATCTTGTTAGATTTCTTTTATATTAAATAATATGATTTTATAATTTATTTTATTTTTAAAATGATATAAATGAAGAAAAATTATATTTTCTGAAATAAAATTAAAATATGGTAAGGATAATCTTGTATTTTCAAAACAGTTTTTCGCAGAAGCTCCAAATCGGAGCTTCTGCTTTTATGCTATACAAAAGCGCTTTTCGGCTTTTCAAAAGCCGAGCTTTTAGAGGTGTTTGGCCCTGCTTTAACTTTTGAAGCCAAAAAGCACTTCTAAAAGCCGGGTCAAACATAGACATTGAATGAGAAGCAAACAAGAACAAATAAATAAGGAGAAAAAGGTACAACAAAACAACCATTGAAACCATAACCGAATAGGTAGTATCATAGAAACTTTGTCCATATAACCATAAAGAAGACTCATGCTGCATTGAATAGTAAGTCTCGAGAGATTATTTTTTGGACAAAGTTTTGTAAATTTTTTGAATTATTCTAGTAGTGACATAATATTGATCAGTCATATATGAAAATAGTTGCATTGCATTCAAGCCATATTCTCCAGAAGATAGCACGAGGAAGAGACGTCAAACATTTTGAGAAGTTGATGTTGCTTGAGAGCAGTGGTCATTCGATTGTCAGTGTCCAACAACGTTATGAGATTGGCCCAATAATACCTAGCCTAGTGAGTAGTGAAGAGGTAGTCTCATATATGACACGAGAAGTGACAATGAAGAAATTTTATCTTATATAAATATATATATAATGTTCAAAAGGATACGTCCAGCTTGCCTCCATGAATTTTTACATTCTAATTATTTTTGAAGGCCAATTTCATAAATAGTATGATAATATTCATGACAACTTAGTCAAATTATCAAAAATCGTTCTATTTTCATTTCTAGTAAAGTGTATAAAAAGAAAATGTGGGGCCGATAAAAAAAAAGAGTTATTTATTTGCTTTGTGATGTTACTTGTCTTTCTGTCTTGAGATACTCTTCTTCTCATCATAGCAATTGATTGAGTTTTTGCTTTGCGACGTTATTGTTGTTCCTCTCTTTTCAATTTCATGTCAATAAACAATGGATAAGCAATTCGGTGTTCTTGGTTAGGAATTCAAACACATAACATCTAATTGTTATGGGACAATCCAAGTACCACATCGGTTATACAAGGGAAGGAACCCTTGTATATTAGTGTCCACCAATCTCATTAGTACGAGGCCTTTTGGGGAGGACACCCAAGAGTAAAACCGTGCGGGCTCGGCCCAAAGCGGACAATATCGTACTAATTGAGCGCCCCGATTTCGACAAATACCTATAACAATAATCAATTGATAATAATAACTCAAATTATTAAGAGAAATTGAATAATAATTCATTCTCAAGCCTCCCATCACATCAGCTCTTATTTATACGTTAGGTAACAATGAATTAGTTCAGGAGTTTGACCACACTGAAAAACCGACCCCAGTCTTTGCCGTCTTGAACAGCGGAAGTTCAATCAAACTGACCTTGCATTCCTTCTTTCTTTGACACCGCCAAAAAAGTCAAGTCAAACGGTAACGGTCTCCCTTTCTCCTATTCCGAAATAAATAGTCAAGTCAAACAGCAATTCATAAACCATGCAATGTGTCATTCCATTCCATTCAAAGTTCTAACGACTTGAACTCAATATCAAATGTCAATTGAAAGCTTCGCTCATTGAAGTTAGAAGGGAGATGCGCGAATCCCATGTTAAAATTTGTTGTTCAAACTTCAAAGTTAGTTGTATGCCTGTATCATTAAAAAAAAAAACAATACTAAAAAAGTCAACTGTCGTTACCAATTATTAAGGTACTACGTTTTCCATGCTAGCCGCCGCCGGCCAGCAGCCAGCCGCCACCATATGACTGGCATATGACTATTCATCGCGCATGTTTATAAAAGGTTACTCGTCGGAAGGACGCTTAAAATCAAGCAAGTTCCAACAATAATACTGTTATACATAGCTAAGGTAAATGCATTTTCATGTCCTTTCTGTCTTTCTAATGCAGTTTCCATCCATTATATATGTGGTGTGTTTAACTGAGCAAGTGTTGAACTTGTGCAGGAAGGAAAGAAACGTTAACCTTAAGAGTTCAAAAATGGAAGTGTCGGTGATATCGACGGAAAGCATCAGACCATGGTCATCATCAGCAGGAAGAGACAACGAATTCAAACCATTCAAGCTATGCCTACTCGATCAGCTCATGTTCTCCACTCATGCTCCAGTCGTCCTCTTCTACCCCATGAAGGAGGCCCATCATCCTGACGAGAAAATGGTTGCTAGGTGGCTGAAAGAGTCCTTGTCCAAGACCTTGAATCCCTTCTATCCTGTAGCCGGGAGAGTGAAAGACAACCTCGTCATCCACGACTTTGAAAAGGGCGTCCCCTTCACCGAAGCCCGAGTGAAGGGACACAGTCTGTCTGATGTTCTGACCTCACCACGTGGCGGCGGTGGACCCAAGTTGGAGTTCCTCAACAACTTGCTCCCATTCGAGCCATTCTGTCAGGGACACGAGAATGTTGCATCTGGTTCCCACGCACAAGTATCTGTGCAACTCAACACATTTGACTGTGGTGGGATCGCGATTGGGATCAACCTGTACCACAAGCTCATGGACGGGGCAACCACCAGCGCGTTCCTCCACACATGGGGAGCCAACTGCAGCAATGATCCTCAGCTGAAGAAGCAACCCGAGCTACACAAAGCATCCTCAGTTTTCCCTCCCAAGCACTCAATCCCTATCGAGTCCCAGACATTCTCGGACAGGATGCTGTTCGAGGATGTGGGAGGACAACGACGACGACAGGGTGCCTCGAGGAGATTCGTGTTCGATGAGAAGGCTATCGCGACACTAAGAACCAAGGCGAGGCTCAGCGTCCTTCATCCGACTCGTCTTGAAGCTCTGTCCGCTTTCATTTGGGAATCAGCCCTTAGGGCAACGGCTGCTGCGGGTGATGCGCAGCAGCTGATGTTTCTCATGCAGGGTGTTAACATGAGGCAATTGATGAGCCCGCGCTTGTCCAAGCACTCCCTAGGAAACCTCGTGGCCACGGCGATGGCGTCTTGCGTGGATAGCTCCAACAGATCGATGGAGGAGCTGGTGAGCCTTATAAGAGATGGGAATCTGAGGGTGGATGAGAACTACCTCAACGCTATCTCCGGCGACCAAGGTTTCCCGACCATGATGCAAGGGCAGAAGTTTTTGCAAGAGATAACAGGAGGGTTTTCACGAAAAACCTTAGCTTGTTCGAGTTGGGTTGGGTTCGGTTTCAATAATTTTGACTTCGGTTGGGGGAAGCCTATCTGGTCCGGTTTGTTTGGAGACCCTAGTGGAGAACATCCTTTTATGAACAATACCATAATTTTCAAGGAGGTGGCTGCTCGAGGTCATGGAAGATCGAAAGCCATAGAGGCATGGATAAGGCTAGATGAAGATGTCATGGCTCTTCTTGAACATGATGCTCACTTCCTGGAGTATGCTTCCCCCAATCCTCCTCTCATTCTTGATTGATCATAAACTACCTATACCATTCTCCATGCGAGAAACTCTGAATTTGAACTTGTACTTGTAATCTTTGAACCTATCTTCTTTTCGCTTTCGTTATTACCAAAACTATATGGGGAAAAATTTGATCAATCATCAGACAGCTAGCTGATGTGATGATCACTACATAAATGTAATCATTTAATGGTTTATCTTGAATAATGGATGCCGCCTTTTCATTAGCCACCTCTAATCACAACTGCCATCATTGCATTGAGAAAAGGAGAGGGCCAAGCAAGTTTTCTGCTCAAATACACCTATTGTCTAAACATTATTATTGTATTCAAGTTGGAACTTATGATTTCAGTTTGTGTTTGTGATTATTAACTCACTGTAAAAATAATTAATTTTATGTGTTTTCATTATTAACGAATATTATTTTTATTATTATCATTGCACGTTTAATTACCAACGTGGCTTGCTGAAATATTTGACGCTCCATTTGTGTTCATTATTAAGCTAAATTGATTCTGATTTTCTTCATTACCATCAATGTATTATGTATGTAAGCTAAACTTCATTAAGATCTCCCAATAGAAAAAAATGTCTTCTCCGAAAAAAAATAAAAGCTCATGTCTCTCCCTAACGTTGGAATTCTAGACTCTAGAGAGGAAAGTGTTATGAAAATTGAAAAGGAAAGTTTAAAAAAGTGTCATAATTACTGTCGAACGTAATTTAATAACACAATTTAAGACATGAGTTCCGGTATAAAACTCTGGCCTGCAAAATCCGATTGTATCATCGTGTATCATCATATCACGATAATACAACCATATTTTGTAGGGTTTTGCATGCAGGGTTTTTCTATCCTAGCCGCTCCAATATTTTAATTAAAATTAGATAGATATATTAATTAGTCAGTTTAGCTTAAGGGATCCAGTATGATAAGGTCGGGTGTACAATAAGATTCCTGCACCCCTTTTCCATCTTTTGTCCTAGCTAGGCCGAGTTCCACTCTCTTTTCCACCCACCGACCCCATCAGTTTTGCCTCTCCGTCGATTCCCTGAAGGCTGGCCAAGTTGGAGCTATGGCCGGAGATGGATAGCCAGAGAATCGAAGTCAGAACGCCAATCCCTTACTAAATCTCCTGATTACCCTTAAGTGCTTCCCCGCCAATTAATACCACAAAATTAAATCCCAAGACCTTCATTAGTTTAATCCCAACTTGTGATCTCAAGGGGAACTGCATTGATTACCCAGATCCACTGCATATGGAAATGAGAGATATTGTCTACATGATAATAAGAACTGAAGCTTCGTCCATTGATGAACTGTACGTACCATTTTTTATGTTTTCCTCTAGCTAGAAAACAATCATTATATATACCGTACGTATACAATATATATCCTGTTTAATTTGTAAAGCATAAGGTACTGGACGTGCATTTCCATGCTATTGAAAGTTTCCCAAGTCCCCAAAAGCACAGCTAATCAATTCAGATTTCAGACTTAAGCTATCTTCCACGACTTTCATTAAGAATTATAGCTGAGCAAGTTGCATGCATGTGAGGTTGTGGGTATAAATTAAATGAGATCGATCAGCAGCTGGTAGATAGATGGCTATATATATAGACACAGTACTCCATATTGGTTGTGGTTCAGTTAATAGAGATATAGCTGCAGACAGGAAGTAATTAAGCTGTAACTAAGCTCTGTTACGTACGCGTAAAATCAAGTAAGTCCCAACTTTATACTTACTGCATACATAGCTACAGGCATAGTTAGTAAAATACGGTACGGGAAAGTTACGTATAAAACGTGTTATTAATTTATTTTATTAAATACGGATATTAAACGTGTTATACGGGTTTTATACGTGTTTAGTACGGGAGCCGTCAAATGAACGGGAACTAATGAAACGGCTTGACAATAATACGGATACGGAAGTTTTAAACGGATAAAGTACGTACGGGTACATATACGTGTACTAAACGGAGTATTTACTAACTATGGCTACAGGGAGCATATATATATATATAGTACTGTTGATGGTACGTTTTGGTTAAATAAATGCTTTAATTATTTTCTTATGTATGAATGATCGATCTGTTCTTATTTAATTAACAGAGATTAACATGAATGTGCAGGCTAGGGGGAAAAGGGGCCGGAAATAATGGAAGTATCGGTGATATCAACGGAGAACATCAAACCATGGTCATTAGCAGGAAGTGATCGGCATGAGTTCAAACCATTCAAGCTGTGCCTTCTTGACCAGCTCATGATCTCCATTCACTGTCCTCTTCTACCCCATGAAGGATGATCATCATGATAAGAAATCGGTTGGCAAACTGTTGAAAGCCTCGTTGTCGAAGACCTTGAATCCCTTCTACCCCGTAGCCGGGAGAGTGAAAGACAACCTCATCATCAACGACTTCGAAAAGGGTGTCCCGTTCACCCAAGCCCGGGTGAAGGGACACCGTCTGTCTGATGTCCTGACCTCGTCACGTGGTGGCGGTGGGCCAAGGTTGGACTTCCTAAACAACTTGCTCCCATTCGAGCCATTCTGTCAGGGACAGGAGAATGTTGCATCTGGTTCCCAAGCACAAGTATCTGTGCAACTCAACACATTTGACTGCGGTGGGATAGCACTCGGACTGAACATGTACCACAAGCTCATGGACGGGGCGACCACCAGTGCGTTCCTCCACACTTGGGGAGCCAACTGCAGCAACGATCCACACCTGAAGAAACAACCGGAGTTACACAAAGCATCCTCGGTTTTCCCTCCCAGGTACTCGATCCCGATTGAGTCCCAAACATTCTCGGACAGAATGCTTTTCGAGGACGTGGGAGGACAACGACGATGTGGTGGTGCCTCGAGGAGATTCGTGTTCGATGAGAAGGCTATCGCAACACTAAGAAGCAAGGCGAGGCTCAGTGTCCTTCACCCGACTCGTCTTGAAGCTCTGTCTGCTTTCATTTGGGAATCGGCTCTAAGGGCAGCGGCTGCTGCGGGTGATGCGCAACAGCTGATGTTTCTCATGCAGGGTGTTAACATGAGGCAACTAATGAGGCCGCGCTTGTCCAAGCACTCGCTCGGCAACCTCGTGACCACCGCGATGGCTTCTTGCATGGATAGCCCCAACAGGTCAATGGAGGAACTGGTGAGACTCATCAGAGATGGGAATGTAAGGGTTGATGAAAACTACGTCAATGCCATCTCCGGCGACCAAGGTTTCGCGGTCATGATGCAGGGGCAGAAGATGTTGCAAGAGATGACAGGAGGGTTTGCTAGGAAACCCCTAGCTTGCTCGAGCTGGGTCGGGTGGTTTCAATAATTTCGATTTCGGTTGGGGGAAGCCTGCCTGGTCCGGTTTGTTTGGAGACCCTAGTGGAGAACATCCTTTTATGAACAATTCCATAATTTTCAAGGAGGTGGCTGCACGAGGGCATGGGAACTCGAAAGCTATAGAGGTGTAAGAAATTTTACAATGCTATATAGTATTGGTGTTATAGGATTTTGCTTTTATGGTACAACTTAAAATTGTACGTTTATGTTATGGTACAATTTCAGACTGTACCTATACTTTTTGTACAAATTCTTTTATGGTACAACTTGAACTTGTACCTTTATGTGATGGTACAACTTCAAGTTGTAAAGTTGTACCATAACATAATGGTACAAATTGCTTTATGGTACAACCTAAACTTATACATTTAATGTTATGGTACAACTTTAAGTTGTACATTAAAGCACCAATACTATATAGCATAGTAGAAGTGCTCATAGAGGTGTGGATAAGGCTAGATGAAGATGTCATGGCTCTTCTTGAACATGATGCTCACTTCCTTGAATATGCTTCACCTAATCCTCCTCTCATTCTCGATTGATCATAAACTATTCGTATACCATTCTCTATGCGAGAAACTCCGAATTTGACCTTGTATTGTATTCTTTTAACCTATCTTCTTTTCACTTTTGTTATTACCAAAACAAGAAAATAAAATTGATCACTACATAAAATGTAACCCTTTTATGGTTTATCTTGAATAATGATATCGCCTTTTCATTAGCCATCTCTAATCACCACTATACATATACCATCACTACATTGAGAAAAGGAGAGGGCCAAGCAAGTAATCTGCTCAAATACCTCTTGTCTAAACATAAACACACACGTAATTACCATATTAATGTTCTTGATGGGCGAATGTTTATACTATCAATCATCAATTAATTAAAAGCCGAAGATTTTTTACTGTTCCTTACGATTTTATCGCTGGGAACCTTGAATTACCGTAAGTGCATTTGTTTACGGTTCCTCACGATTTTGTCGCTGGGAATAATTACCTTAAGTGCATTTTTAAACACTGTTCACTGGAGGATTCATCATCCCATGTAGTGAGGTGTAATGTAAGTTTTTGTACGGGTAAGTGCATTTTTTAAACATTGTTCATCCCGTGTAGGATCGATTCATCCCATGTAGTGACGACATGCACAATCAAGTTTGAAAAAACTTATTGCTCTGGGTTAAGTTTAGTAAGTGGTGATTATATAATTCTTCCATGATGATTACGCCACTATTAAAACTTATGGGTATAAAATTATTTCTTATGCATCTACGAAATATTTCTCTATGTAAAGTTTAGTGAGTGATGGTTAATTGGTTATTTCCTAGGTATCAATTACAGAAACGTATTATTTATGTCTTTCATAATGATTAAGATACTATTAAAACGTATGGATATATAATTATTTCTTATGCATATGTTAAACATATATTGCCTAAGTCTTTCATATTATAAGTCCCAACGATAAAATCGTGAGGAACGGTAAAATTTGGGGTTTAATTCATTGATTATTAATTAACCAAATATGATATTCTCATAACTTAGTTACTTTATTATTAACTACAATATTCACCACCTCATCAAGTTGCATTATGATAAAGTTTTGTAAGATAAGATAACTTTTCCATAGTAATTTGAAATTTAAACAAATGTGATACTTTTATTTATTTATTATTAGACCATCCCTTATGAAAGATTTATGTAATTCGTTCCATAATAGTTATCTAAATTTTACATAATAGGTTAATTAAATATGATAATTTGGTAATTTTATTATTATGTTACGCGTTACATAAGATTTGTGTAACCCATTTTATCACAGTTACGTAAATTACAAGTACATTACGTAAAATTTATGTTTAGATATTTATTTTTTATGTATCAATTAAACAATAATGATTAAGATAGACCGTGAAAGTTATGGATGTATCTTAATTCTTATCTGAACTGTTTTATAATTTTTTATTTCAACTAAATTATTAAATGATTTAATAGAATTTTAAATAAAATTAGTTTCTTACCTAAAAACTAGTTATTATATAATATAGAGAGTTTGACAAAAGGAGTCAAATGGACGTAGAAAAATAAAACGGTTAGACAATAGTACAAAAACATTAATTAATTAATTAAAACCACAAGTTACCTCTAATTACTTTTACTGTTCCTCACGAAAAACACGGTAAACCCAAGCTCTTTATCGAAAACACTGTTCATAGGTATTTATTGTATTTTTTAATTGTAGTTCTAACCTACGGCCGGATGTATAGTGCACACAAGCATAAAAGGATTTACACACAAAGATGCAGCGAGGTGTACTATTATATTCCCATTCCCATTGCCATGCAACTATATATATAACTGATTGAGTTTTTACATTTTACATGATCAATTGTGCTTAATCAATTTGTATTACACAAACCTTTCATTAGTTCATAGCGTAAACTTTTATTGTTAACTATAATTTTTACCATGTCACCATAGCAAAGTCCAATAGTTTAATCAAATGTGATATTTCCATAATTTTATTTTATTATTGGACCACAAATTATGAAAAATTTACGTAACACTATTCTTTAAAAGTTACGTAAATTACTAATATGTTATGTCAAACTTATATAGAGGTAGTTATTTATTATGTATCAAATAATCAAAACATAATGTGCTAAGTCTTCTTAATAATTAAGACAATACATAAATCTTATAGATAGTGGATAGTCATTTATTATGTATAAATTAAAAAAAATATTACATCATGCTTCCGTACATCAATTTTTAATGAAAATGTCAATATTACTAACCAAATGGTTGATCATCTCATTAATTTGCATTATACAAAGGTTCTATAAGGTTAGTTATATTTTACATAATAATTTAATCAAATGCGATACTTTTCTAATTTTAATTCCTATATTACTAATTTGAATTTTCATTATACTATGTCATTAATTTGCATTACGCAAATCCATAAGATAAGCCAACTTTTACATTATAATTTAATCAAATGTGATTTTTTTAATTTGATTTTCTTATTAGACCACACAGTACGGAAAATTTAAGTAACACTATTCTGAAAAGTTTCATAAATTATGAATAAATTACATAAAAAAATTTAGAGTGATAATTATTTTTACGTATCATTTAAACAAACATATTACAAAAGTCTTACCGCCGCGAAGCGCGGGCCAAAAAACTAGTAAGTTTAAACGTATAAAATATGTACATTTGTATATACGTATATTAATCGGAGTATTTACTAATCTACTTTTTTCTGAGTAAATGCCATGATTGGTCACTAAGATTAATATTCGTATAAGAGTATAAAATATGTGCATTTATATAAACTTTTAGATTAATTAAGCACAAGAACTCACTTCTAATATTGTGGGCGGCATTACCCAGAAAATAAAAGGCAGATTTCTTTGCCCGGAGAATATGGAACTCCATTAATTAAAAATATGTGTAAATCCAACTTGTGATCTCAAGGGGAACTGCATTGATTACCCAGATCCGCTGCATATGCAATTGGGAGATACTGTCTACATGTTATACGAAATGAAGTTTCGTCCATTGATGAACTGTACCATTTTTAATGTTTTCCCTAGAAAACAAGTATATATTATACATATTGTATACAATACATATGCTGTTTGTAAAGCGCGCACAAGGTACGTACTGGACGTGCATTTTCATGCTATATATTATCGACACTCTCCAATTCCCCAAAAGCACAGCTAATCAATTCAGACTTAAGCTATCTTCCACGACTTTCATTAAATATATAGCTCAGCAAGTTGCATGCATGTGAGGTTATGAGTGTAAATTAAATGAGATCGATCAACAGCCGGTAGCTAGAGGGCTATATATACACACTAACGCATATTGGTTGTGCAAGAGATATAGTCATTAGTCGCAGGAAGTAATTAAACTGTAACTAAGCTCTGCTATGTACACGTAAAATCAAGTAAGTCCCAACATACAGGGAGTATACATATAGTACCGTGGATCATAGGTTTTGGTTAAATGCTTTACTTATTTTCTATGTATGAATGATCTGTGATTATTTGATTGACAGAGAAAGTAACTATATGCATGTGCAGGCTAGGTGAAAAAAGGGCCGGAAATGGAAGTATCGGTGATATCAACGGAGAACATCAAACCATGGTCATTGGCAGGAAGTAATCAGCATGAGTTCAAACCATTCAAGCTGTGCCTTCTTGACCAGCTCATGGTCTCCATTCACTCTCCTCTCGTCCTCTTCTACCCCATGAAGGATGATCATCACGATAAGAAATCATCGGCTAGCACACGGTTGAAAGCCTCGTTGTCGAAGACCTTGAATCCCTTCTACCCTCTAGCCGGGAGAGCGAAAGACAACCTCATCATCCACGACTTCGAAAAGGGCATCCCATTCACCGAAGCCCGAGTGAAGGGACTGTTGGACCTGGTTTGGAAGCAAGAAGAAGAAGTAATCCGAATCCCTTGCGGAGAAGGATTGGAGCTGCGCGTTGTGAAGACTGAAGTTTAGTGAAACTGCTGCGTTTTGGTTATTTATGTTTTGGTACTTGTTTTATTAAGTTGTGCTAGTTTGATCAGTATCCGTTGTGTGCAACAGATCGAGCAAACAGAGTGCTGATCTTCAGCTGTTGCTTGGTTTAGTTGTTGCTGATAGATAGGAGATCAGTTTGGTAGTTGGTTAGTGGCCGATTTCTCTGGCTAAACCTCATGTATTTATTTCCTCTTCATTTTCAATAAACAAACTGTCAGATTGCAAACCAATTTAGGCTTTCATTGTGGTATCAGAACCTATCTGCAAGCTGTAACCAGAGAGTGAGTGATATCTGCAAAACAATTGCAGATTGGGTATTTGGGAAACACGAGAGATTAGCGTGAGGAATCAAGAACGAAATTTGGGTGTGTGAGAAACATGAGTGAAGGAAGCAGCAGTTATGCACAGGTGTGCATACCCAGATTCGATGGAGATTTTGATCACTGGAGCTTGTTGATGGAAAATCTCCTTCGATCAAAAGAATACTGGGAGGTGGTAATTGAGGGGTTCAAGGAGCCTACCAATGGGGAAGTTCTATCTGAAGCGCAATCCAAGAGACTTGAAGAACTCAGGCTCAAGGATCTGAAAGCCAAAAACTATCTTTTCAGCTCCATTGACAAGGTGATCCTGAAAACCATCACAAACAAGAGAACTGCTAAGGAACTGTGGGAATCCATGAGGATCAAGTACCAGGGAAGTGCAAGGGTGCAGAAAGCTCAGTTGCAGGGGCTAAGAAGAAGTTTTGAGCTGCTGGAAATGAAAGAAGGTGAAACTATAACTGAGTATTTCAGTAGAGTAATGATTATAGCAAATTCTATGAGAAATTGTGGGGAGAATTTGACTGATGTGAACATTGTTGAGAAGATTCTTCGAACTTTGACTGAAAAGTTCAACTTTGTGGTTTGCTCAATTGAGAAGTCAAAGGATATAGAAACCTTGACTGTAGATGCTCTTCAAAGCTCCTTAATTGTGCATGAGCAAAAGTTTCAAAGGAAAAATGCCGGGGAAGAAGATCAGGCCCTAAAGGCATCACATGACTATGCTGGAAGAGGTGGTGGTAGAGGCTATGGAGGCAGGAGTTATCAAGGAAGAGGTCGAGGAAGAGGAGGAAGAGGTTGGAGCAAGGAATCTGTGGAATGCTTCAAATGCCACAGATTGGGGCACTACAAGTATGAGTGTCCAGAGTGGGAAACTAATCAACAATCCTACTATGCTTGCTATCAAGGAAGAAGTCAGGGAGACCTAAAAGAAGACATGCTGCTTATGGCTTACCTGGATGCTGATCAGAACTCCAAAGATGTCCTTCCCAGTAATGAAACCTGGTGGTTTCTGGATTCTGGCTGCTCAAATCATATGAGTGGTGACAGGAGCTGGTTCACTGAACTAGATTCCAAGTTCAAGTGCACTGTCAGGCTGGGTAATGATTCCAGGTTGAATGCAGTGGGAAGAGGAACTGTTAAGTTGCTGGTAAATCAGAAATCTTTTCTGGTGCAGGATGTGTTCTTTGTGCCTGACCTTAAATCTAACTTGCTGAGTGTGGGCCAGCTACAAGAGAAAGGGCTTTCCTTTCTCATTAAGGGAGGAATATGCAAACTGTATCATGAGGAAAGGGGTCTGGTGCTGCAAACAGAAATGAAATCAAACCGGATGTTTGTTCTACAAGCTGAAGCAAGAAAAGGTAAAGGAGGCCAGTGTTTGCAGGTGGATCAGTCAAAAGAAGACTCACTAGAGTTGTGGCATAGAAGGTTTGGACACATTGGTGTTCAAGGACTGCTAGAGGTTCAAAAGAAGCAACTTGTTCAGGATCTACCTAGTCTAAAAGGGAACATTGGAATCTGCCAGACTTGTATGATGGGGAAACAGCATAGGCTCCCTTTCCCAAAGAAGAGCAACTGGAGAGCTACACAAAAACTCCAACTTTTTCATGCTGATTTGTGTGGACCCATAACTCCAGCTTCTAATGGTGGCAAGAGGTATATCCTGACCTTAACTGATGATTTTAGTAGAAAGCTCTGGGTATACTTTATGCCAGCCAAATCTGATACCTTGGAACACTTCAAGAAGTTTAAGAGTTATATAGAAAAGGAAACTGGAAACAGCATACTGTGTTTGAGAACATACAGGGGAGGAGAGTTTATGCTGCAAGAATTCAAAGAATTGTGTGATGAAGCTGGGATGAAAAGACAACTTACTGCTGCACTTACACCTCAGCAAAATGGGGTGGCTGAAAGGAAGAACAGGACTGTGATGAATATGGTAAGATGTCTATTGGAGGATTGCAAGGTTCCTGCATCTTTTTGGCCAGAAGCAGTAGCATGGGCCACTCATGTACTCAACAGGAGTCCCACTACAGCTAATCAAGGGAAAACAGCTCAAGAGCTTTGGACAGGGCAACCTCCATCAGTCTCACACTTAAGGGTGTTTGGATGTGTGGCCTATGTTCATGTACCAGACCAGAAGAGAAAGAAGCTAGACAACAAAAGTGTGAGATGCCAATTCCTTGGTATCTCTGTGGAATCCAAAGCATACAAACTGTTCAATCCAGTTACCAAGAAGGTGATAACAAGCAGGGATGTGGTCTTTGATGAGCAAAAAGGCTGGAATTGGGAAGCTGACACTCAACCAGCACCTGCACAGTTACACTGGGAAGGAAGTGATGATGACTGGTTTGATTCAGACACTGAAGAAGAAGATCCAGCTGAAGGATCAAACAGCAACCCTGCAGCAAATCAGTCATCACCAGCAAGTCCTGCACAAGTCATTCCAAGTACAAACCATGATGATGAGGAAGAAGAAGGTCCTGGATCTCCAACAGATGTGCTTGGTTTGCCTGCCACAGAACTAGGACCTCGAGTAAGACATCCTCCTGGTTATTTATCACTCTATGACTGTGGATTTGCTGATACAGAGTGGAGGGCCATGGTAGCTGTGTCAGATGATCCTGTCACATTTGAAGAAGCAGTGGCTGATCCTAAATGGAGAAAAGCAATGACTGAGGAGATAGCCTCCATATTAAAGAACCGGACATGGAGTCTAACACAGCTTCCAGAAGGAGTAGTTCCAATTGGCCTCAAATGGATATTCAGAACAAAGTAGGAAGATGGGACAGTTGATAAATACAAGGCCAGACTGGTAGTGAAGGGATTCAGTCAAAAGCAAGGCATAGACTACAATGAGGTATTTGCTCCTGTTGCTAGATGGGATACTATAAGGATTCTGTTAGCATTTGCAGCATTTCATGGCTTTGAAGTTTATCAATTAGATGTGAAAAGTGCCTTTTTATATGGGGAGCTTGAAGAAGACATATATGTGGAGCAGCCACAAGGGTTTGTGGCTGCTGGGGAGGAAACTAAAGTGTATAAACTGAAAAAAGCCTTGTATGGCTTAAAACAAGCCCCAAGGGCCTGGTACAGCAGGATTGAAACTCATTTCCTGAAGTCTGGATTTGAAAGAAGTCCTTATGAACATACACTGTTCATCAGGAAAGAGGGGGAGGAGATCTTAGTTGTAAGCCTGTATGTGGATGATTTGTTATACACAGGAAACAGTTCAAGGCTGATGAATGAATTCAAAGACTCCATGAAGGCTGAGTTTGAGATGACTGATCTGGGAAAAATGAGGTTCTTTCTGGGGGTTGAAGTTATTCAGAATGATGCAGGGATCTTCATTTGCCAGCAAAAGTACATTAAAGATGTGCTGAGCAAGTTCAAACTGGAAGCCTGCAACTCGGTTTTGAATCCCCTAGCACCAGGAATGAAGATGACCAGAGCAGGAGATGGATTTCGAGTCAATCCCACTGAATACAAAAGATTAATTGGCAGCCTGTTGTATGCCACAGCAACAAGGCCTGATCTCATGTATGTGGTTTGTCTTCTTAGCAGGTACATGGAAACTCCTACTAGGCAGCATATGTTGGCTGCCAAGAGGGTGATTCGATATCTCAAAGGAACCTTAAGTATGGGGGTCTGGTATAAGAGAAGAAGTGAGGAGGCTAAACTGCTTGGATTCACTGACAGTGATTATGCAGGTGATGTTGATGACAGGAAAAGCACTAGTGGATACACCTTTTTCCTTGCAGGTGGAGTGGTGTCATGGGCCTCCAAGAAACAACCAGTGGTTACTTTGTCAACCACAGAGGCTGAATTTGTAGCAGCCTCATTTTGTGCAGCCCAATGTGTATGGATGAGAAGGATTCTGGAGCAAATTGGATGGAAGGAAAGTGTCACTGGAGCCACAAAGATCATGTGTGACAACAGCTCTGCCATCAAGCTTTCAAAGAACCCTGTGCTTCATGGCAGAAGCAAGCACATCGACATTCGATTCCATTTTCTCAGGGAGTTGGCTGCTGAAGGAATTGTGGAACTGGAACACTGCAGAACCCATGAGCAAATTGCAGATATCATGACCAAGGGGCTCAAAACAGAGACCTATCAACTGCTAAGAACTGAACTGGGAATGGTAGATCAGTCGGAGTTCGAAGCTGCAAGCAAAGAGATGAACTGAAGCAGTCAAACCAGCTTCAGTTCAGGGGAGGATCTGTTGGACCTGGTTTGGAAGCAAGAAGAAGAAGTAATCCGAATCCCTTGCGGAGAAGGATTGGAGCTGCGCGTTGTGAAGACTGAAGTTTAGTGAAACTGCTGCGTTTTGGTTATTTATGTTTTGGTACTTGTGTTATTAAGTTGTGCTAGTTTGATCAATATCCGTTGTGTGCAACAGATCGAGCAAACAGAGTGCTGATCTTCAGCTGTTGCTTGGTTTAGTTGTTGCTGATAGATAGGAGATCAGTTTGGTAGTTGGTTAGTGGCCGATTTCTCTGGCTAAACCTCATGTATTTATTTCCTCTTCATTTTCAATAAACAAACTGTCAGATTGCAAACCAATTTAGGCTTTCAGGGACACTGTCTGTCTGATGTCCTGGCCGCCTCGCCACGTGGTGGTGGCCGCGGACCCAGGTTGGAGTTCCTAAACAACTTGCTCCCCTTCGAGCCACATTGTTATCAGGAGGATGCAGCCGCTTCTCCACAGCTATCGGTGCAACTGAACACGTTCGACTGCGGTGGAATCGCGATTGGGATCAACCTGTACCACAAGCTCATGGACGGGGCGACCACCAGCGCGTTCCTCCACACCTGGGCGGCCAACTGCAGCGGTGATAATCCTCGGATGAAGAAACAACCCGAACTATGCAAAGCACGCTTGGTTTTCCCTCCTCGGGACTCCA